TCAATGGTCCGTGTGCTGCCAAAGATGATGGTGCTTAACTCGGAAAATCCAGCAATCATCAACGTACTGCACAAACTCGACCAAGCTGCAACACAGTACCTGGTCCGCAATGCCAAACAGCCGAGCGAGAACGTTGTTAAAGCGAGCGCCAGCAATTCTGCCCCAGCCAGTGCTCTCAAGCCTACTCCGTCAATCAGTGGCAAGACCGAATTCTCTGTGAGCAAGAAGAAGGAGAAATGTCCGACCGACGTGATCGACATGGAGCATCCTGACGTTGTTGAAGAGGAGGGAGAAGATCAGGTGTTCGTCGATGAGAGACAGCGGTCAGTCACAGAGGCTAGCGTTCGGGCTTTCGCGCGTCAACCAGTGCAGGCAGCAAGACCCAGTTCATCTGCCGATAAAGGAAAAGGAAAGCAGCCGGTCAGAAATCCTCCAGTCGAGAAGCGCACAGCAGAAGAGGCGCGAGAGTGCTATGTTCGCAACACACATGGCATCCCACTGGAAAGCCTTTCAATCCATCTCATTCCAGTGACCGCCGGGGTGCTTAGCAAGGCCGTTGACCTGACCTCTCTCCACCACCTGTCGCTACTCAACGTTGGACCTCAAAGCACATTCTGGGCTTTCCTCAAGCGACTCAACCAGATCTACCCCCTGCCACTGACATCCATCCATACGGACAATGTCACGCCCGCGTTCTGCAGCTTCGTCAACAGCATGGACAAGATCACCGAGCTGTTCCTGTTCGAGCGCTACAGTAAAGCCAAGGTAGAGTCGCTGGCCGCCAAGACCACCATAAACGCATTCACCATTCGCAGAGAGATCCTACACAAGCACATGCGCAACCTCCAGCGATTGGTAATCCGCAACGACGAGAGTGACAGCTGGGCTGCCGACCCGGCAACCATACTACAGATCAGCCAGCGTGGAGGCAAGCTAATCGAGCTCGGCGTTTCTGTGAACAACTGCGGCATGGTAAGTCAGCTGTCAGCTCCTCTTCCAAACCAATCTGGTATAATACTAACCTCAATAGCACTCTCTCATGCAACAAATCGGCAGCTTCCGCTCTCTCAAGGCGCTGCAAGTCTTTTGGTACCGCCAGGACATGTGCACGACCACGCTACGCGAAGTCCATCACAGCCTTATCGACGGCATCTATCACTATCGGCACCTTCGCATCGAATACGTGGCCATGTGCTATTGCATGCATGGACCGATCGCAAACGGCGCGATTCAAGTTCGCGGTCGCGTCAGACACCTGAACAAAGCGTGCGCGATCCTTCAAAAGGAAGCAGAGGCTGCTTCTTCGTCCTCTTCTTCGCAGCCAGCTTCAACTAATAACGCTCCACACGGCACTATGTTTCCGATGGAGAACAGTGAAGGTGACCCAATGCCCCTGTTTGGGGTCGAACTGAGCACGCGGGCGTTGCTGAGCATCGAGGAAATCAGCGGGGTGAAGATGTGGAAGAAGGGAGCGTGGGAGATGAAGTTGTAGCCGATCCCAGACTGCCGCAGCGGTAGCAGCCTGGGATCGGCTCGTGTGTATGAGTATGAGAAAGTTTTCAGATGAAAGTTGATGAAAGTGGATGAAGATGTGATGGAAACGTGGATGCGTGTGAGGGGGAGAATGAGAAAGGAAGAGAAGAGGGAGGGACAGCGAGCAGATTAAATAGTCTTAACACGCTTAGTCGCCTCGACGATGTAATCAAGAAGATATTCACAGTTGAAATGACAAATCTCACATCGCATAATCCCCTTACAACATATTCATCCTTACCTACCTCATCCCACCACTTAAATCATCCATACAACAAATACTCCTATATAGATAGACATATAAGGGCTTCCCCCATCACATGTCCATTTCCACCCCCCTCTTAGTCATCTCAGCTCCACTTTCCCTCCAATTTCCTTCCGTCCCGGCCCATCAACTCCCGCCATAGGATGACATCGTTGCTTTTCTTTTTCTTCCTCTTTCTTCTTGCTTCCTAGCTACTTTTCCCAACTACTTTCCTACATTTTCTCTCTTTCTCCCCCTCCCACGTCAATAATCACTGTATATACTATCCGCAACAATGGGAGGCAAGAAGGCCGCCGGCGAGAACTCCAAGAAGGCTGCGGGCAATGCCCGTGTACGTTCACCTACCTCTCTGCAAAATATTACCCCGCCCCCGCTCCATCACCACCATTATTACCATTTTCTCAACCACAACCACTATGCCAACGTTTAGAAAGCAATGCTAACAAGTTTTAATATGTATATATAGAAAGCCGAAGCCGCCGCCAGCAAAAAGGCCGCCGAGGACGCCAAGCGCGCCGCCGAAGAAGACGCCAAGTGGTCCAAGGGCGCGAAGGGTAACAACAAGCGGTACGCCATTCCTTTCCCAAGACCAACGTTCTAAAAAGTTGTTGCCAAAAGTGAACACATCATCTCTAACACAATCTCTTTGGAAATCCAGCGAAGACGCTGAAGCCAAGAAAGCCGAAGCCGCGCGCAAGAAGGCCGAACGGGACGCCCTCCTCGCCGCCGAAGAAGCCTCCCAGCCCAGCAAACCCAAGAACACAAAATCCGCCGCGAAGAAGAACGCCGGACCCAGCCGGGGTACATTGGATCTGTCGCAGCTCGACGATTCACCCGCCAGCAAGAAGGCTTCTGCGCTCAATGCGTCTGGTATCGACAATGCGCTCGACGCATTGTCGCTTACAGGCAAGGATAGCGGCAAGGTGGATCGGCATCCGGAGAGACGATTCAAGGCTGCGTATGCGGCGTTCGAGGAGAGACGTTTGCCTGAGATTGAGGCTGAGAATCCCGGTTTGAGACGTAACCAGCGCATTGAGATCTGTAAGAAGGAGTTTGAGAAGAGTGAGGAGAATCCGTTTAACCAGGTGCATGTGGCGTTTGATGCGAGTCGGGAGGAGATTGCGGCTGTGAAGGAGGCGGAGAGGAAGAAGGTTGAGGCTAGGTTGGCGAAATAATCTCTTTTCTTTTCGTTTTTTTTTATTCTTCTTCTCTTTCGGTTTATATTTGGTTGTTTTGAGGGAAAAGAGGGGGTTTGATATAGTTGGGTTTGGATGATATACCCGGTTTGCCTGTGGAGGGATGGATATTTCTAAAAAAGCATAGAGCATATAGCTGATAGCAGATGAGATGATTAACGATGCAATGGTATCATGCAATCTATATCCATATCCAATACACACGACACGCAGAATCAATGGATGGATGGAGGTATCAGGTTAACCCATCACTGCTCTCACATCCCACACATACAAACTCTCATCCCATCCCACACTCGCACACCATCCCTCACTCCCAAACATACACCAATCAACCCCCGTCACAAACTCCGTATGCCGACCCATTCTCCCCAACTCAACCCCCATATTCGGCCCCGGTCCAGCCCGCATCACATCGACATCGCCCACCGCCCCCGGCGGCGTCTGATCACTCCAGGCCCGACACGTCATATCATAACTGGCACTCAGCAACACATCCGACAAATGCGGCGACCAGGCCACCTTCCGTACGGCATACTCATGTCCCAGCATCACCGTCTGCGGCCCCTGCCCAGGCGCCCGAATATCAAAAGTCCGAATCGTCCGATCCACCCCCGCCGTAGCTATCGTCGACGGGCGATACTTATTCCAATCCATGGTCAAGGCCTCCGCCGGCGCCGTCGCCGCCATCGGACCCCCACCCGGCACTATTCCTCCCCCAGCAGCAGCACCACCACCATGAATCGGGATCTGCAAAGTCAAATGGTTCGAGGCCGACGCCGGCGTCCGTAGATCAAACACCCGTAGATACGAATCCGACGACACACACGACAATATATCTGGCGAATGCGGAGAAAACGCCGCGCTGTACGTGCAGCTATGCGTCGGCAAAGTAAGGAGGGAATGCGGGCGGTTTGGTGTCCACACGCGCACAGTCCCGTCCCAACTACTACTGCAGAAACGGTCCTTTGCGACGAGGTTCCAGTGCACGCTGAAGACTTCGCGGTTGTGCTCTTTCCAGTTTTGGATCGGGAAGTCGGCGACTCCGGTGTCGAAGAGCTTGATGCTTCCGTCGCCCGAGGCTGTGAGGACTTGATTTTCGTGGATTTCAGACCATGCTAGGTCGTAGAGGGAGTCTTGGGTTGTGAACCTGGTTTTATTCGAGGGGTTGGTTAGATTTTGGGTTGGTTTGGAAGTGGGATGGGGATTTGGGGGATGGGGATACCATTTGTAGGGAACGATTCCGTTCGGAGTCAGCTCGAGAATGTAAAGTCGGCCATTGCCGACGAGGCCGAAATTGGCGGATGAGGCGACGGCGAGGCGGTTGTCGAAGAAGGGTGAGTACTTGACTGCGCAGCCGTTGAAGCCTTCTGTGCGAAAGTGGAGCATGTTGGGAGGGTGTGGTGAAATGGAGTGGAGATGATTGTTGATAAGGGAGGGGGGTTTAATTGGGGTAAGGGATCATGGCGTTGTGAAAGTGAGGGGGAGATGGTGGGTGGATTGTTGGTGTTGGTGTTGGTGTTAAAATGGAGAGATTAGTAGATCATGGAGATACGGATGCAATTGCAGATGAAGATGGAGATGGACTGACTGCGGGGAGTCAACGTGCCGAGGTTCGGTCACTATTTGGGTTGTGCTAGTGGCCTGAGGCATTTAATGTATGCCTCAGGCATATTTACAGCCCATGTTGAGCCTCAGCGATGGTACATACGCAACTACATCTTTTTGCCCCGCCAAAGCTATCGTTTTGCCCAAAAGCTCTCTCATGATTGGCTGTCACAGGCAGTGTTGAACTAGAAGTGCATGTATTCCGTAAGTGGACTAGTTCATGGCACCGCCCTTGAAATGAATTCCTTCAAGCCGCAGGAGACCTTTACACGTGATCTATCACACGACTCCATGACAGTCATTGCCTTTTTGGGAAGATGTACCTGGATACCCGATGAGGCAGGCGCCAGTGCCCGATGCTTAGTTGCCAACGTCATGATTTTTTCCTCCTCCATCCACTTATTCCACATTTCAATCACTGCGCTCTCATCGAAGCCGTGTCGTTCAGTTGCTCTTGTATCAATCCGTCGTAACATCAGTTATTCGGGTTTTCTTGCTCACGTTCTACAAACTCGTCTTCAATACAGACAAACAGTCTCTACGGGATACTCTTCCAAGCTAATCTCTGACCCCTCTCTATGTAGACTCTGTGTTCTTCAAACATCGGGTTTACATACCCTTTTGCAAGGCTAATCAGGCTGTGATAACTCTATTCGGCAGCAATGGACTGGTCCAAGACTGTCTTTCGTCTGCGCGCATTGCCAGACACCGTGGAAACCAAAGAAGATGCCGCTCGTCTGCTTAGTAAACGGCTCAGCGATATCTCTACGCACCAAATCTGGGTGTATTCCCTCGCGCTGACTCTGGAGTATTGGGAGGATCCTCCCACTAAAGTGGCAACTGTTATGTTCGATGTTCCCCCTTCGCTTGTCCAACGCAATCCAGAAAGCCGGGCGTGGCATATTCCCGCCAGGGGCCATGATCGTAATAGCCCAGATCTCATATTAGATACCCACTTTATAGGTCTGACACCCTTGAATGATACAAATCACTTGCAAAACTCGTACGAGTAAGGACTGCCATGTCTTTTCAACATGATCGGCGTTTGACCATTGGTTAGTTGCATCGCTATCTCAGGTCTAGCAAGCCACCCTTTCGGATCCTGGCAGCGCAAGGGAAGTAACAAACGCTTCATGTGGATTCGTGATAATCTACCCAAGTCTGTGCGAGGAATCCGAGCCATACTTTACGGGTATGACACTGAGCTTGACGGCAGCAGCTCATTCCAGACCATCAACGATCTCGCCAAGCAGCTCATCGATCAACTCCAAGCCCACCGGGTCCCAATGTCGGTGGTTGTCTTCTTCTCCATATAGTCTATCGCAAATGTGCACTCACGGGTAGCCTGGGTATATGGAAGAGGAAGTTGGCCGCGACAATGGACCTGCTGTAGCGCATGATGGTGATACTCCATACCAGAAGATTCACAAGGAGTTGCTGTGCCCGAATTGGAGCTGGACGTGTTGACGAGATGCTCGTCAAGCCTGAGCCGCTTGGTTTGAGGATAATCGGCCTCGTCGTGGATGCCATTATCTCCCAACTCCGGAACCCGCTTTGGGAAAGGGCATGAAGACATGTCTTCGGAAATATCCATATTGGTATCGCCTGACATTTTTCCTCAATTTTTTCTTCGCCAAATTGTGAAGTGTTGAGAGAAACGAAAGATATAATCCTTTAGCGGCTTATCGCACTGCTCGGAGCTGCGGCACTGCCACCCAGAAGTTGCAGCAGGGCACCACCACCTGCATCATCATTGATCCAAGGCACACATTCGCGAGGCTGAGTCTGTTGAAAATTATGATTGGTTAAACATTGTTTCAATTGCTTCACCTTTTGGCTTTCATTTGTTTGCTTTCGCTCCGCAAGCCTGCTCGCCGAATACATTTGACATTTGGGCGTTGAAGGCATGACTGGCCTTAGACAGTCACACGGTTTTTCTATACACTCTTCGCTCTCTCTGCATCTGCCTATTGTACATCATTGTAAACCCAAGATGATAAAAAAACAACAGGGTCCATAACATCAGCATAATCCACACCAGAACCACCGTGAAGAAAATAGACGCCAAGGTGAAGACGACGCAAACCCTCTGAAACTGCTGATTCCCCTGCAGCGCCTGGGTCGCCAGTCCCACTTGCATGGCCGACAACAGAACTGACATGTATACTAAAACCGCCAGGATCCACGAGAAATTACGCTCGAAGAACTCCTGGTACCATGTCGAACTGGGAAGAAACCCAAAAACGAGGTTGCGGATAGAAAAGGTCACGGGCGCTAATCGGTACAGGGAATTCAGGCGGCTCAAGCGCAACTCACCAAACTCGTAGCGCTTGTTGATGATTGCAGGCTGGGGTTGGGAAACTAATCCTTTTCTGTGGGCAGGGAAGTACTACACCTATCGTCATCATTCTCATTGTCCACCCACTCGAGGAACTGCCGGATTAACAGGGTCCATGCATCCCAGGTGACATCAAAGGGAAGAATACGCTCGTCCTTGGCGAGTTGGAAATCGATCAATCCAGTAATGAGCCACGCATAAGATAGAAGCAGCCCACATGCGGCAGCGTGCAGTTCTCGATGAGGACAGAGCTCCCGCACCCAAAACTCGTGGTCCAGGAGATATTCCGGGACGGGTTTTATGAGGATCTGTCCGGGGCTCCAGACCAAGTGCTCATCTGGGGATTCCGTGAGGATAATCGCACGCTTCATCAGCTTCTGTCGATGCAGTGGCCGGGCTGCCCGTGGGAGGCCAGCGAGCCATAGCAGATGATAATCCGATTCAACTTCGGCGTTGTGAGCTGGAAGTCCAGATAGCGTTGGAGATCCTCGCTGGGCTTTATCAACTGGTGCTGGAAGTTGACGCCTGCTGGGTGCGTATGTTGTGGGGAAGAGCGAATGCTCGCAGAGCTGGAGAATGGCGGCGTCACACCATGGCTCGCTGGCCTTTCTGGCTGGGGGTAGTGTATGGTAGGAGGATGTGGCGCAGTATTGTTTGCCACAGTTGAAGACATCTTGTAGGTGAAGATGGATGTTTTCTCTCTCTCTCTTTCCTTTCTCCTTCTCAAGGTTTATATACGGATTTGCCTAAAAACAAGCCTCGAGAGATTAAACAAACCCCGGGCGCGCGAGCAGTCTTACTGGGCTTCTGGGCGAAACGACGTAGCTAGTATCTCATGAAGATGACGATTGTGTTGGCACTCCTTAGGCAAAGACAAGGATATGGCCACTAACGTGGTGACCACTTGGAAGCCAGAATGGCTGTAGAGGCATGGTTGCCTATGATCTTGCCTCCTAAGCAAGTCAGCAAGTTGAGTGACTGCTGTAAGATCATAACTCCTCCAGCTGGGCAAAATTTGCGACTCACGACAATGCTTGGGTTGGGCATCATCAGGGCAATTACATGGTTGTGGCTATGCCGGGCGGAGGAGGCAGAGGCGCGCAGGTTATTCACGTGTAATTCCTTCTGTCTGAAGTGATTCCAAGGGCGGTGCCAAAAACTACCTAAACCGCACCGGGAAGTGTGTAAGCACTAGCACCATGCGCGCATGGTCTGGCGTGCAAGTCGACTTACGTGCGACTAGCCCTCCATACTTGACCGCGCACAGTAAAGCGGCGGCTTCCGTATAAGGCAAGCGATAGGACTAAATCATCTATCAACTGGGTGAAGCCACTCCGGTACACATTTACACTGCTGAATATATCAACAACAAAGGAGATAAACAACATACCAACAGATTAAGTCTACAGTTCGCCAGAACGGATATCAACCAAATACAGCTCCTGGGTTGTATAAGTCACTCTGAGTGACGGAGTCTGCTGGGGATGATGCCGATGATGTGGGCAGTGTTGTTTTGTTACCATTTTGGATTCTCGATGTGGTACCATAGGCGGTTACAAAGAGAGGGAAGAGAGTATAGGAAAAGTGTGTGATGATCCGGGCTGGGGTTGGTAGTAGTCAGGACATGTACCGAGAGCCCAAATGGATTGATAGACAGGCTATAGTGCGGCTGAGCAAAACCCAGTAGTTAAACAAAGAAGTGAAAGGAAAAACAAGCAGTGGAGGTAATTTTGTGTACCTCGTTCTTTGTTCAAGATGGAGAACAATCTCCCTATCCCCGGATCTTCCCTACACAACCCATGAGAAGCAGCAATCGCTCATGCCTACTTAAGAAGGGACTTCATGCCTCTCGTTCAGATGAAGTCTTCATTCTTCATCTCCATAAGCCTTGGTGATTGTACTCTTCCTCCGGGTGGCTGTGGAAACTACTTCGTGCCCTAGCTCAGAGTTAAGTGTGAGCACGGTTGCTCCTTTCTCCTCCTCTCGGCATTTTACAGTTTGAAACTAGTACCTGCCTCTGAGCTTTTCCGACGAGATGTCATCCGACTCTCCTCAGAAGCGAGTTGTGGAATCAGTCGACGATATCCATGATAAGGATTCCGACGGTCATCGGGGAAAGCGATCCAAGATTGACAAGCTCTTCACCGGCGTCTCCAACTCCGTTCGAGACACGGAAACTTCTCCGAGCTCTCTCGTCTCTGATAATAAAGCACACGATGTTTTACAGCCGAAAGGCGACCAAGCCGGTGACGATTCGGAGGCTATCTGTGAGTACAATACATACCGTCGAGCGCCCCCTTCCCCCCGAAGTGGGGTCTAACTTCTCATGTTATACCTAGGCTCTCCAGCACCACAAGCGCTTTCGCCCAAACATTTGGCTCGAGAACATGTTCAGGACCCTCCCCAGCAATGCCACACAATTAATGACAAGGTTTTGCAGAGCACTCAGGAAGATAAGGCAGAATACATATGCTTCGGGATGGTACGTGATATAGATCACCTTTTCATTTCCTCCTCTTTCCCCAACTTTGTTCATTTCTCTACCCATTCGGCATAGCTAACGTGGGATAGCTGAGAGATGTCGATATTCAAGTCCAGCCTGTTCTGGGCCGGTACTCCCTAAGCGTTGATCAATCATTCGGGATACCTGATACGTTTGCTTCACTCCCTCTCGATATAAAACCGAGGCGGTGTGAATTTCTTTCAAACGAGGGCGCTTGTATTGCGACGATAGACTATGCAACACACCGTCGAATCAGCTCCCTAAAACTCGAAGAGGACCCGATCTGGCTGGGTGTGATGCCAAAGAAAAAACTCCGGCGGAAGATAAGAGCAGTGACAAAGGATTTTTCTTCAGGATCTTACTCTCCTTCCTCTTGGACGTACAAAATCAACATTCTTGCCATCGGCCTCTCGACTATTGCGAAACCCCTGGCAAAGCAACTTACTCTACCTCAGCATGGTCGGCGTCAGTTGCAGTTGCGTTGTCCAATCCCAAAGCCCGACCAGATCAGGTATTATAATCCCCAATGGTCGTACAGATTGGGACCACCGCCTTCCGAACAGCTGAAACCACATACACCGCGGATTGCTAATCAGAAGGAGTTGAATGGTTCTGATGAGGCGGGAGCGAACAAGCGCAAAGACTTCAAAGAGTCCAAATAGTCAATTCGACGGCAGGCGATAGCGTTACGGCCGCCCGGCAAATGCGTTTTGGGGGGTACTTAGTGATGCAGCGGATGAAGAACGTCATATACGAAGATCCGGGAATGTGAATGTATGGCTTTACAGTTAACTTGATAATCAACTAGATATTCTGTGGTGTAGACCCAATGGCCGCTAAAGCCTAAGACCGTACTGGACTCACAGCAGAGCATTTCAACCATGTGACTACTACTCCTCACTGTAATTAGTTAGCAGTGCTAATACATAGGTATATATTACAACTGCATCCCAATCTTGAAGTGGATCTACATATAGTGTTTCCAAACGGACCATTTCAAAAAAACAGAGCTACAAGGTGTTCTCACACTGACGCCACACCTACATTTCTCTTCCTCTATTTCAATCTATCCAGCTACACATCAGCATTTCTGGTATTTCAATCAAGTGATCAATCAATCCACCGTGAAGCCTTTAGAATACACCAAGTATCACTTAAAGTGCCTCAGGCAACGACAGATTCTTGCCTAAATAATATTGAGTTATATCTTCAATGTAAAAGATCTGACATGGCTTCTAACTCAGCGAAATGTGCCTTTGTGCCGGTATATATGTACTACTTAGTAGTAGCGGTAGATAGTACTACTAACTTACTTTCTTCCCCTACCCTTCTTTCATAGTAGCATAGCCACGACAATGCCACTGCCCCGGTGATTACCAGCTTCAGTTGGTCAGTAGCCTTTGTCGGCACTACTCGTTATTCGTCCTAGGTATTATAGAACTCTGAATCTCAGCACTCTGAAATAGTTCCCGACTCTCAGTGAAGTGGTGAAAGTAGCCATGGCTGTCATTCAGTTACTTCGTTGCCCCAAGTTACCAAAAGCGGCATCACCCGTTATTAGACATGCAAGAAGTACTTAAATTATGGAAATAGACAGTTATGTGATTGCTACTACTGCAATCAATACCCTAAATCCCGATAACCACATACTACGATAATCCCACTATTACCAAGGGAGATATTCAACTCTTCAGCAAAGTAGTAGATCTATACTTTCCCAAAACGGATGTCTACAAAACATTGGCAGCTCCCATGTCGAGCATGTCACACTGACGCCACTCCCACATTCCTTTCCATCCACTCATCACCCCAACTAGTAACTATCAATCAGATTACTGCTACTACTTACTTACTATCCAATCAATCAATCACTCAAATTAATCCACCATGAACCCACCTACAACAAATCAACCACCACCTCCGACATACCACCCCCTCCCAAAATGAAACCCAAAAAAGAAGACAAAGATCCCACCACCCCAGCCTCCACCTTCCTCCAGACAGAACTCTACCACACAGCCTCACAACCAGGCCTCCGCTCCCTCCCACCCAGTCCCTCCCGCGACTTCCTCACCCTAACCTGGGGTCCAATAATCTACCTAACGACCTACTACACACCTTCCTCCTCCTCCCACAATCTCCTCTCCCGCTTCCTACAATCCCTCAACACCGAAATCCACCACGCCATTCGGCGCGTCCTGCCCGGGAATCCCTCCCAAATTCGACTCTTAGAATCCAGCTACGCGGCGAAGGTCTTCAGCGGGGAGAAGCTGTATAGGGATAAGAGCGTCGAGGAGATACGACGGGTGTTTCATGATTGGAAGAGGGTGGATTTGGCGTTGCCGGCGGTGGAGTTACCTGTGAGGTTGAGGGTGTGTTTGGTTGTTGATAAGGGGGTTTTGGAGAGGTTTGGGAGGTTGGTGGATGGGGATGGGGATGGGGAGGGGAGGGGAGGGGAGTGTTGTCCGGTTATTATGGTGGAGGAGAACTTTCCTGATATTAGACGGAGGGATTCGAATCCGGCTGATGAGGGGTTTCCGGGCTGGACGTGGGTGGCTTTAAGGGCGGTGGTGGAGGTGTTTGATGGGTTGAGGGGGGCCGGGGGGTTGAGGAAGTATCATCGTGAGGGGGAGGTGTATTTGGGGGATGGGAGGTGGGGCGAGTTGGGGTAGGGTGGCTTGTATGGGATGTGTATGATATTATATGTATACTACTGGGTTTGTGGGTCAGGAGTATGGTTTGGTTGGTTTGGCTAGATTGGCGTCAGTGGTGTGCTTTGGCTTAAGGGGCGGGTTAGAATATTTATCCTATGATCGTCTTTGAAATCACATTTACAATTCTTGGGTAATTTTTCCTTATATATACCAAATCAGCAAGGAAACTATCTGGTTTGTTTAACTCACTAAAACATTCAGAGCATGTTAAGAGACCGTCTTGTGTTGCTGTTTCCACTCCTGATTAATCTCCCTGTAATCATGCACAGTGTACTCCTCAAAAACCTCTCGCACCCAGCTCCTCTTCCTCCACCTGTTGATCCCCAAGTCCATCAATAGCATATCCAAATACGGGACCGCGTCGAAGATCGTCTCTGGATACCAACTCGCGAAACCATATGGATGTCGGTGCTTTCCATATCGACTGGTCAATGCTGTCTGATAATACACCTTCGATCGGTCAATTGGGACCTGATTGTTGAGATAGGCATATGTCCAGAGAGCCTGCACCTCGACCAGAAGGGCGTTGCTTGGTCCATTAAGCATCTTCAAGAATGCAATGGACTGATCGCCTTTGGCTGTCAACTCTGGAGACGCAATGCCGCGGTAGAGCCGAAAAGGACTGAGCCCGGGCTCGTACGGAATCTTCACAGCTGGTTGGTCACGCAGACCTGGAAACCGATCGAGTATCTCTTCATCCGCGGCACGGTCGAAATGATCCCAGACTTTCCGGTCTTTGGAGGGATTCCTGGTGGGAATCCCCAGGCTGCCTTCTAGTCCCTCGGGCTCGTACTTGATGCTTGGTACCAGCTTCCATCCAGTTATTCTAATCACAGCATCGGTTTGTAGTTCTGTGCCATCGGTAAAGTTGACTTGGCCTTCTGATAAGTGCGATATGTCCTTTCTCTTTACGCTCACCTGCCCTGACCGAACATAATCATAGATATCCGTGGGATAATTGAGAACCCCCAGACGACCCGTCCAGAACACACTGTGACCCGCTGTTAGTCAAGAAAATTGGCTTTCGGTGATCTTACCTTCCATCTGGTTCCAGATCTTTCAACGCCGCTTCTCTCCGGTAGCCATTGACCTCAATGGCATCCCCGTTTAGTTTATTCCAGAATGATCGCACTAGCCACCTTCCCAGCGCTGTCCCATGGAGCAGTCCTCGCACCCATCCAAACCCATCACAATTTCCCCAGATGCAAGGACTGAACCAGGTGATGATTCTGGTGGTTGTTAGGCCTTCCAGCTTCAATCGCCAGGGTCCAAACCAAAGCCATGGTAACGCCATCCAGACCGCACCCCCTCCAGACTTACGAATGATCCATTCCACACGTTTACCATGAGAGGCCATAAGATACACGGCATCATATCCATACTTTGAGGCCCCAATCACCGTCACCGACTTTACCGCTGGGTCATTTGCCAACAGAGCGCCTGTTGTTCCGAGCTGAGAGTGATTCATGATAGGTTTCCCAAAGCTTTCCTGTCCTGGAATCGAGAATTCATTCGGAGTCGAGAACAGTCCCGGGCTCATGATGAGTTTGTTGCACGTGTAGAGTACCGAGTCGGTGTGAAGCCCCCAGATCTCGTCAGCCTTTTGTACTGTATGCACATGAGTGTTGAAGCGAGTCCGTCGTCGAAGATCGAAATGATCGATGAAGTCATCGAAATACTGCTTGAGCGCATATCCAGGAATGGGAGCTTCCGGTTGCACATCATATTTGGTTGGATCAAGTGGGAAACTCGAAAATTCATAAGTTCCGTAGAGGTTGTTGGTATGAAGCCCTTCATAGCTGTTTGCCCATACGCCGCCTACAGCCGAACGCTGTCAATGCAGATCAGTGGACAGCTGGATGGGTATTTGGTGCGGGATAGAATACCGCTTCAAGCATTAATAGATCTGTTTCCGGCGCCAGCTCAAGATACGTCTTTGCTGCTGCAAGACCAGCGATTCCTAACAACCGCGAGTAAGTAGGCAGTCTAAGAGTCAGACAATGGCAGGCGAAAAACACCCATACCTGCACCCACCACAATCACTTCGTGTTGCTCCTGAGGCTGCATCGTCATCAATTGGTAGATTTCTTCTATCTGAATAGCGTGTTGTAGTGAAAAGTTACTTATTGCATTCCTTCAAAGTCCTCTCCATGACGGCTATGACTTAGCTCAGGCAGATGACGAGCAGCAAAAGTACAATCAACCCCGTTGTCCTGATCTATGACGTAGTGCGCTGATTGGCCACTTTGAGAGCAATCACGTGTCGATAAGGATATCAATTCCAGTTGCAGCAAACCTTCAAATAAACCTTCAACATCCCTCCCCAGCTTCCCCTCCATTTCCCTCATGGCTTCCAGCTCGACCTGGAGATCCTCTCCATGGATCGCTTCGTCTCCCGGAAGAGGCCCCGGAGCCCTCCGCCACCAACAACAACCGACGAAGAGTCCACCGACCTGAAATTGGCCCTCCTGATGTCACTCTTCCCAACCATGACCCTGGACACGCTTATGGAAATCCTGGTTTCGAGCAATGGCTGCGTGGAAACAGCCTCATCCACTATCAAAGCCCAAACTCAAACCCAGATCCAATCTGGCTCAGCACCTCCGCTCAAGAAACGCGCGACAGCCGTCCCAGGAACCCCAGCCATCCAAACATGCTTAATCTCAACTCTCCCGATCACCATCCCCAAGCCTCTCACAAAGAAAGGTCAAACCCTCCACCTCTACTCCCCCGCCTCCATAGCAGCACACACCCCCTGCACCCTGATCCACAACTTCCTCCCCCCATCCCTTGCAAACGCCCTCCTCTCCGAACTTCTCTCCGAATCCCCGCACTTCACCAGACCCCACTTCCAACTCTTCGACCGAACAGTCCAAAGCCCCCATTCAGCCAGCATCTACGTCTCCACACCAGAAGACCACCACTCCCACACCTCAGAATACACCTACGGCGGCACCTACCGCTCCAACGTCCGGCAAATCACCCCGCACATGCGCACCGTCGCCGCCAAAGTCCAACGCACCGTGAACGAGCAGATCAAAGCCCGGGGCCCCAAGCTCCCTTTTCAATCCCCACTAGAATGGACTCCCAACGCCGCATTCGTAAACTGCTACGCCGGCCCCACAGAAAGCGTAGGCTGGCACTCCGACGAGCTGACATATCTCGGCCCGAGACCCGTCATCGGGAGCTTGAGTCTAGGCGTGGAGAGGGAGTTTCGCGTGAGGAAGACCCTCCCTGTTGACACCGACAATGAGGATGAAAATAATGGTGATGGAGGCCAGATCTCCATTCACCTACCTCATAACTCCCTCCTCATCATGCATGCAGAGATGCAAGAGGAATGGAAACATTCCATTGTCCCTGCTAGGACGGTCATTCCGCATCCTGTTTCTGGTACGGCGAGGATTAATATCACTTATCGCTGGTATCGCGAGTCGTTGCATCCGCGGTATACACCCCGTTGTCGGTGTGGGGAACATACGGTGTTGAGGTGTGTGCAAAGGAAGAGGGAGAATCGGGGGAGGTATATGTGGATGTGTTACGCTGGGTTTGCGCCGGGGAAGAAGGGATGTGGGTTCTTTCAGTGGGCGGAGTTTGATGATAATGGGGAGCCGGTGTGGGGTTCGAGGGGAAGGGGGGATAATGGTGAGGATGCGCCGAGGTTGAGAAATTTTGTGGAGGGTAGGGTTGAGGATGGGGATGACGTCGAGGGTGATGGTGTATAGATAGATATGAACTTGTGATACCCTTTTTATGTCATTATAACGTCCGAGACGGACTCATATGCATAGTTCGAACGGAAATCATATAACCCGCCTCGATCTAAGAGACCGGATTCCGAGTGCTTTGAAATGATAGCATAAAGAGCAGATTGATTCCGGCTTGTAAAACAGCAAACTGTTAACATGAAACTAAACGCCATAACTCCTGTACTGCCCTTCACGGAAGCATATTCCTTAAGCAACCATATAGCCTGCCTGTGACTTATCACATGTCTAGGGGCAGCCACATATAAAAGGTCAATCCTCTAGTGTAGGTCCCTGGCATATAAGATCCTTCACTGACATAGGCCAAGTCGCGCCATCGTGAGCCCAAACCAACCATTGCCTGTGGATGTCCCAAAACAATATTAGTCGAACCCTTTGCAACGATCTGCATCAGTATCATCTCAGCCAAACGTCTCTGTCGAGAAGCGCTCCACATAAGCAGGGCCATTCAAGCCTCAGTAGTCGTCTCACCCAAGTGCACCAAAAGTCTACTCGCATGCCCTCGAAGTCTATTCCACGAGATCCAAAACCCAGATCGGCGATCTTCATAGTTTCCAACCAACACCACGACAGCCTCGATATCCAGAACCACCATCAATCATGAAACCTGATCTTCGGAACTAAAACCCAATTCAATTCTCCTCCTCCTCCCGTCTGCGCAGTGGTTCCTGATAAGCAGGCGGGTTCCGACCCCGTTCGAGATCCGGCTGGGAATTTCGTTTCCCTTTCTGACGATCCTGCGGCTTGACCCAGAACACCCAGGTGACTGATTTTCGGGTGCTCCAGAATTCCGAGCATAGGAGGGCGATGGCGAGGATGCTGCAGATGACGATGATGGGGACGAGGACTAAGAGGATGACGGTGATGGATGATTTGTATTGCGAATACCAGCGAGACATATTGGATTATGGGTGTATTGTAGAAGGTATGGGTTTTGGTAATTGGATGAGTAGGAGGTGGTAAGTAGTTAAGATGCTTTTTGAGAGGGGGTTAGGGGTAGAGAGTACTATAGAGGGGATGGATGTATGGATGGTGTTCTGGCACTGCCACTGATGTGACGTACTAGGCAGGCACGATGGATGGATGGAAGGGTCATTATGACAGCCTTGATTAATGACTTTTTTGATTATGTATGATATCAGGTCAGGTCAACTGAGCCACGATCGATTCTATTAAGGGTATATTGAATTACTCGCGCACTGCCTCTGTGCGTGGAATCATCATCTCTTTGACTGATGCCAGGGTGGATTCGTCGAGGCGGCTGAATCGGATCTGTGAGTCTGTTAGCAGCTGATCATTATCACACTGGGTATCAGGTATTTACCATCTCTTCGACTCCTCCCCGCGTCGCATTTCCATACAACATCGCATCCGAACTACTAGCCTCAATCTCGTTCTGCACCCGTCTGGCCCAGATCCCATCCCAATGCCAGTCTCCAGGGGACCTCGCCTGCGGGCTCCCCTTCTTCGATGCAGAAGCAGTGCTTCCCTTCCGATGAGCCTTCCACGCATGCCACGCACTCGGGTTTCCAGCTGCTTCCAGCGGTAAAGAATCGAGAACCGTCTCATTATCGAACGTAGACCGAATGTAATCCAGCAGCTCTGATACAGGGACGGTCTTCCTAGGCTCGACCGGTTTCTCTACCGACGACGGGGCGACGGCCTCGCCTTCGTCCTCATTCTCATTTTCGTCCTCTTCTTTCGACTGAGGCTCCGTTGGTTCAGCGGCGGGGCCGTTATCCCCGGACATGCTTTCCCTGCATAGGGTGTTGGATACCCCATCGCTGGTAGCAGTCGAATTACGCACACTGGCGGTCTCTCTAGGCGGAGTGGCGGATTGTAATCCAGCTCGCTTTGCGCGGCCGAACCAGTGCGGGAACCCGTGCCGCAGACTGAACCCGCCAGGGGGTAGCCGCTCTTCGTCTGTTGCGCTGACTGGATCCTCGCTTGAGGCACCGGTGCTGAATGTGTATGTGGTGAGGGGGACGATTAAGGGATGGAAGACGTCAGTGGCGAAGTTCACTAGAGGAGGCATATCGGGATAGGACGTGGGGAAACGGATCTGGAAGCGGAGGACGGCGGAGGCATAGGGGCCTATACAGACAAGATTGTCAGATCGCCGTCATCATAATTAATTGAGTATACATACCAGAGCGAACAAAGATGACTCCCAACCAAAGCGTTGGATCGCCCGGGCTGAGGCTCATGTAAGTTCCCGGAGGAGCGGCATGTTGCAAGCTTGCGCTGCAGAGACAGTCAACACCACGGTTTAGTCAGTCGAGTGGTATTAAGCATGCTCACAATTCTAGGAGAAGCTGCTGTTTCCGAAGCGCAGGGACGTTGGGCAAGCGGGTTGTCGACATGATGCTTGGAATTGGTGGTCGGAAATGCTCAGGGGTGCGGCGAGCGAAGATGAAGAGTCGGAGGTGCTTATGTCCGCTATCTCCGGCGGTTATCTGGGTTTCTATGGTAGCATCTCCACTTCACATGGGAGGGAAAAGTATACAATAGCGCTGGAAAACAAACAGTCATGGTAGCAGTGTATGCGCCTTACTGTGCAATAGTCATGTCACATTATAACAGTCTATCTCTACGCTTAAAATACACACCCAACTTATTCAACCTAGTTTGCTCAAATCGTACCTCATGACCGCGAAGCCTGCACAAAAGCCTTCCCCAGCTCAACATGCGACTGGGTGACTCCCATGATAATCATGCCCTCCGCAAATCCCTCGTAGATACCACCTGCAATGCTTGTCACCCACCAGGCTGCAAGCTCCATCATACTTGCGCTCACTCTCCCTTCGTTGTAATTCAGGACTGCAGCCCCTACAACCATACCTCTTTTACCAAAGTTATCAGCCGCATCCAGAACCTTTGTTACGGCGCGTTCCGTTAACCGATGGGATCGCTCATATCGGTACAGATGGTACACGAGGATTTTCACATATGGCATGAGGAATTGCAACATTATGAAGAAGTAGACGATAGTCGACGACAGCAGTCGATGAAGGTAAGATCGCTCAGGTGGAAAATTCTTTCCCGTAAGCATACTGTGAAGCCCTGCCGCGGATGGATCAGTCACGGCAGGCGCAGCCAAAGATTCCTTGACACCAGCAGGAAGATTTTCCTGGATTATCATGGTTTCTTGTTTGCTCATATCGTCGGGGAGGCCATCGAGAAGGTAACTTAAAGCATCAACGTACAACATCCGAGCCAAGCGACTGTCGCACTGCCGCTGCTGCGCCTCATGACAGGCATTTTGCAGGAGATTGAGTGCTAGAATTCTGTCAGCCAGACCAGTACTAGTGACTTCCTTCGTGTGTCCTAGAATAGAACAGAAATAAAAGACAGGCGGTAAGACGAACCAGGCGCAATCCGATTCCATCGCAGTCCGGATTCTGCCTCATATTTCGGAGCCACTGGACTGAAGACACTGCTAGATCTACTGCTTCTAAGGCTAGAGATATCGCTGAGCTCTTGTGATTTCTCAGGAGCAGGAGTGAAGCATGGCTCTACTCCATTGCTAGCACTGCTTGCAGTACTGGGGCGCTGAGAGGCGTGCCCAGGCGAAATATCAGGCAGCGATGCCACATACTCCAGCTCTCCTGGCTCAGAAGTCTGTCGCATTGCGGCCATCGCATCACCTCCGGCGTCACCAGCTGTGTTCGCTTTAGCGCTGGCGCGGGCGCTGGCCTCTGACTTCACGGATCGATGCATTGATGGGTATAGTCTAGAGATCCGCCGTCGAAGCGAGGCGGGGATAACGGGAGAAAAGGCCATAAGTACTTGGCGGTAGACCATCGTATCGCTCAGTGCTGTTAAGTCGTCGAATCCATCCATCTTGCGAGGGTAGGGGCCTATACAATGAATATAAACAACAATGAGGGGTGAACCATGAGACAGTGCTGGCAGCGTATGTCTGACGCAGAGAACGGCAACAGCGTCCACGAACGACCAGATAGGCTTTCTGGCGTTTCAGAAAGTTACTGAATGTCCAGCCATCGGTTGAAGCACATGGCAGGGTGAAACATAAGCAGGAAGCTGCTTAGGTGCATGGCGTGAGAGAAAAGTTCCGGCGCAAACTTCAGCCAGCGGCTTTCACATGTCAAACGGTGCGCCGTTTGTTGGCCCCTCCGATAAGGCACCCAATTCTAGGCCCGTGACTCGGCGGTTCCATGATTCAGTGGCGTGGGTGAGCCAGCCAATCGGATTAATTCGTGTTGTTTTACGCCCTGTGACAGCACTACTAATTGTATACTACGCCCTTCATATGATGTTGTACGTAAGGAGCATCGTCGATTTCAGTCCAAAGAAGGGTATATTAATTGTGGCTATCTCCTGTACATGCTCGCTTTCCCTTCCCACGAAATGAACGTTTGCAGTTGAAGAAGGGCGAGAAAATCCCCGAAATAATTCCATCTCTCCCCACAAAGCAAATCGAAGTATAAGAAACTTTTTGACATTATGACCCTCTCAGTCATGGACTATCTACACCTGCCGCATATCTACAACACCGATCCCCTCATCAAACACCATTATATCTGCTCTCGGCTCTCATGCATACCTGGATATCCCTGATCCGTCGTTGGTGCAAGCTCCTCGTTGAGACCCGTATCGGACATGAACACATCGGAGCTCCGCATACCGGGGATAGCTATGGGAGCGGAGACAGGTGTAGAGAAAGGCACTGCTTTGCCAGTCGGCTCTACCTGATGTTGTCCAACGTTCCTAGCTCCAACTTCATTCTCACGCCTACTACTCTCTTCAAAGCACAGCCCCTGCAGATCGTCCAACGGTAACTCATCATACCGCTCATTCAGTTGTTGTAAGAACTCGGGATCGAACCCCATTTGCACGAATTGGTCAACAGATCCGCTCAAAGGCGTGTTGAGGGACGCAATGCCAGTAGACAGGGTACTCCCCACGTCAGCCGACAGCCTGGAATAGGGCCGAGACGGGAGAAAGCCAGAACTTTCAGCATAGCTGCCAGTGGAACTCCCAGGAGCACTCGCGGCAAAGGAAGACCGACCGTGCCCCATAAATGCGGGGCTCTGGAGCCCAGAGTTGGGGGTCACGGGACTGAATGTGCCCTGTCTGGGGTAGAGAGGACTGGATAACATGCTGGTTTCGGCTGGGGCCTGTCTTAGGCCGTCGGCAGCAGCAAATGGCGGTCGCATACCCAGGTCGGATAGTTGAATGTGCTCTGACCCAGGGAGTACTTCAAGTCCTGTGTCTCGCTTCAGCAGGCTGAGCCAAGTCGAGTTATCGGCGCACGTTTGATTCCACGGGTCGTCGCTTCCATAAATAATTCGCCGGCCTTCGTCCTGTATCATTCGATCGGTCGGGATGATACCGGCAGCCCTCTGGTTGTGGATATATGCGGTGAGTTCACGCTGCAGGCGCCTATAACAATTCGCATCTTCTGGTTGAAGCAGACCAGTTGTTTGTGCAACGTTGGGTGGCTTGAAAGGATTCAGAGTCTTCTGCTCGCCGCCAATGAGATACGGTGGCATTGCATTTTCGACCAGACCCTGTATAAAGGGTTCAAACCCCCAATCGCCCTGCCACTGCGCCATGGTACTGCCATTCTTGAAATGGGAGGCCAAATGGTCAACTCGGTCTTTCCAAGTTGTTAGACTCAGCCCGCAGAAGCCACACCGAGATTTGAATTCTGTCAGAGTGCTCCTCCAGGCGTTCATGGATGAGTTAAACTTGACGTTGTGCATCAGTCTCAAGTGCTGGTTGAGATGATCCTTCCGGTAAAAGGACCGCTCTGCGGGTGTCTTCTCCTGACAGATACTATAATTGTGTGACTCTAGATGATCGTTGTTGGGATCAACAGCCATGCAGAATACACAACGGTTGGCGCCATCTATGAAGGCTACTCCCCCCGAAGGCGAGCAAATCCACTTTTCGAGAGCTAGGTGTAGTGACTTCTCATGGCGTTGCCAGTCATACTTGGTTTGGAAGCAGTCGGTGCAGAAAGTACATTGGTATATGCGGGCATTGCGTGCCTTTTGTTGGTTGAAGGTGTTGACGGGAAGTGAGGGCTTGCGCCGGCGACGGCGTTCCTTCCGCTCCATAGAGCCGAAGGAACCGAGAGAGGATCGGTGGGAGAAGGCAGAGGCAAAAGAAAGATCTGATATAGAGGAACGAGTGGCCGATCGACTTGTTTCCTGACTACTGACCGAGGGAGCATGGAACAAATTGGAGTTGGCATGGCTTGAGTCATTGCTAGACCCAGTCTTCCGGGAAAGGGAACGCACGTGACCTGGTCTGGATGCGCGCTGTCGGTCATGATTCAGGTCGGTCGTGACCAGGGCTCGCAGAATATCGGAGGTGGCAGCGGGTTCGTTTTCAGGAGGCGAGTGCTTCCAACGCTCCATGGGTGTCATGTAAGTGATGTCCACGCCTTTTTGTCCGGGAATGTTGATTGCGCCCGTCGCGGAAGAGTTGCGCGGCCCAGGAGGAACTTTACCACGTCTCCGAGCATTAGCAAGCCAGTTGGATATTTGCATCCTCTTCAGACCTGTGCGTTGCTGTAACTCGTCCTTTTCCTGCTCTGTTGGATAGGGATGCTCCCAATGTTCCTGGAGCCATGCTTTGAGGATGCGGACCGCTTCCCGCGCCAGTCTCGAATTGCTTTTCCTCGCTCGGCCATCATCTTCAGCAATGAAGCCCAACGATTTGAGCGCCTTCTTTCCGGTCAGACCACCGGTATGGATGTAGGTATTCTCGGAGATTGGATGTAAGGTATCCAAGAATTTGCCGGGGGCTCGAGCGTGGGTGAAGCTGCATTCGCGATAAAGCGAAATGCAACAAGTACAACCATTTTGACGCATCACTCCACTCTTTGCAACAAAGCAATCCAGATTCATGTGCCTGCAAAAGTCGCATGGCTCCTCGGCACGACTCATGGGATAAACGCCGTTGTCTAGTTCACCGGCATCTTGCTCCGGTAGGTCGTTGGGAAACTCTAGGCTCTGTTCCTGGAAGATGGCGTTGTAGTTTTCAGCGGCCTCGTGCTCGTCGAACTCGAGATTGTCCGAGGCAACATCATCTTCACGAACGTTGGAACCATATGAGGCTTCATCGAAATCGAAATACTCCATCCTTGTCTGGAGTACTTGATGGGGCTTGTCTATGATAAAGGGGGGTTCCAATTTATGGTTACAGGATGACACACGAAAGTAGTCTCGTCCTAGGTCGCAACACTGGGGACAGAGGAGTTATGGCGAAGAGATGGAGGACCAAGACTTAGGATAAGCAAGAGGGCAGCGGAGGAAGCCAGGATCCAAGGTAGACTATGTTTTTCGTCTGGGGTACCAAAAGCATGCCGGAACGGAGAACCCTGCCGGCACTGATGCTAGCAGGTTCCATTCATCCAGTAGGAATATCCATCGTGGACCTAGCCTTTAGGGGGGTGAGTGCTTGACTGCAAGCACTAGCAGTTTTCCAAGGGTGAGACTGATGCATGTCCATCGTGTTCGGTCCAGTCGGCTTGGCCGATGATTGACCCAGTCCTTGAACAACGGCAGGTGAGGAAGGCAGCGTAGTCGTAAGAACTGAAGGAGACGAGGGAGAAAACTGGATCGCTGCGCACCTGCGCGCCCTTCCATTGACAACGCTTGCCCTTTTTCGGTTTACGCCCAGTCAGTGCGGGGGGCCCATTGGGCGTGCCGCTTAACCCAATCAGGCAAAAAAGTATGAATCATCGCGGCGCCGACGATATCGGACCACTGCCCCACTTCCCTCACCATGGATCATCCGTTGTTGGAAGGATGCAGAGGACTGAATAACGGTGAGCAGATGCTAGTCTAAAGGAATGTCTGATCCGTTGCTAGACCAGTCAGACCAATGCTAACAGCAATATGATCCTGATCATCATTCATAATGTTGATCAAATACCCAGTTGATAACGAAGACAGAGGGTCAGTCAAACAACTACACCGTCAATAATCGCAAGAAGGCGACAATATGCGAAGTCGAGTTACCACAGTTACTCGATATAGATCAAACTGATAAGCCATTACATATAACAATTACCCAGATGTCTCAACTCTCAAGAACTGCGGTCAGGTCGTGATCCCCGCTAGCGTACAAGCCACATTCTGAAGGTTTAGCTGCCGGTTATAAAGTCTACGATGTGCATATGTGGTGGGGATGATGTCTAGATAGTGGGGACAAGATAGATAGATAAGTAGTTCTTTGGTTTTGATAAGCTGTAGGGCTAAAGTGGAAGGGGCCAAACTATATATCTTTCCAGTAATGGATAGAGTAGCAACAACTGGTGATGAAGACTATATACAACGCTTAAGACTCAACTGTTAGTGTCATCACAGTTGCATGAAATTCCGCGGAAATATGGCATGCATGCAAGCAAGAAGCACATGCAATGCAACCAGGTGGCCGCTTACTACCTATGCACACAGTGACACACACGTCAATGTGCAATTAACGAGCGGGACTGGGGGAACCATATCATCTCGGAACGGTGATTCAAGACTATTGATTCGACATGGTCAACCTTTTCAGGGCAGTATAAAGCTAATGATGTCGAGGGAGTAAATTTAATCTGGAAAGGAGGGATAAAAACATATACATTTGTAGCAGTAGGTGTAATCATATGGAGAGGCAGAAAGGACAAGCAAAAAGCAAAAAAAGGAAATTTGAGCTCCGATAGGGGGAATCGAACCCCCGGCTGCCGTGTGAGAGACGGCGATGTTAGCCACTACACCATATCGGATCTTGTTGAAGAACCGGGCTTATTTTTGCTAAATGAGGCCAGCGCTTAGCGAATGCTACTAGTCCAATATCTTAAATCACCTCGCCGGGATAGTAGTAGCTTGTCCCCGACATAATTCTATCCCAATGGATCCCGGATTTGGTTTCAATCTTTTCAACTATTTTCAGCTATTTCCAGATCCGTATCGTCATACAATAGAAATATACTGGCACTAACACTTATCGTTCCCCCCGGAATTGGTAATCGATGTTACTACTATACGCCCAGTGTGAGCGGTATATATTCCCACGATCTATAATCATTGCAAACCAGGACACGCCTGGTCAGTACTACCTTAGTATCGACGGTCGCCTACATCAGCATCTACCACGAAACCACGCGATTCCGGTCCCCAAAATGCCCAAGGGTTCATCACTGCTAACACAAAGGGTCCTTACTCCAAACCTAATCAGCTCATGGCCATTCAATGGCGGGGTAACGGCGCCACCCAGCAACTTACTTCGGATGATTCATTCAATAGCGAACCAGCAGCGGCCATACCGAGCAATCATATTCGAGAACCAAGACAACCTTAGCTTGTGGAAGCTTATAGCAATGGGTCCCGAATTTGGCGTGTTTCCAAAATTCGGGAAGCCGGAGAACTCCTCCGTTACCCCGGATCATGAATTTGAAAGAGCCAGGACGACAATACATACCGTGATATGAAACCTAGAATACTAATAAAGGCAGCCTTCTAGAACGATAATAGCAATAGCACTCATGCAAAAGTTCTAGCTTCTCTTACAAATGCCTCTTGAGGTTTTCTTGTGACGAGACAATCCATATCTGGCTTATCAGCGAACCCAAGACTGACCCCGCACAGCTCCAATACTCCAACGATTGTCGATCCATTCTACATCATACCTCTTATCATCCGGTTCTCCAAATCGGGTACCAGTGCTTGGATGAGTACAAAAGCCGATGAAAGCTTGGGCTACTCCTTATAAATTAATAGAGTCCCGCCCAAAGGAACCCTGCGTCCCCAACCTTTTACCACTTACTCACAATGGAGTCCCTGAAGACATTACTAGTCGCCAACCGCGGCGAAATCGCCGTCAGAATTCTGAAAACAGCAAAGTACGAGCAACTATAATTAGATTACGAGAATAAAAGCGTCTAATATCCTACAGGAAGCTGAACCTCCGGACGGTGGTGGTCTATAGTGAACCGGATGCTGCTTCTACCCATGTACATCTGGCAGATGAGGCCGTCCTCTTGCAAGGAGCACCATCCAAGGCCTATATTGACGGGTGAGCAGTATCCCACCTGATTTCAAGCCCAAACAAAAGTTAATGGTTACATATTGACGTCTACAGAGAACAAATAATTGATATCGCGAAGAAATACAAAGCAGATGCAATCATACCAGGATACGGATTCCTATCCGAGAACGCGGACTTTGCACGAGCCGCTTCTAGCTCAGGCATAGCCTTCGTTGGTCCTACGTCGGAGAGTATCGAAGCCTTCGGACTCAAGCACACTGCACGAGACCTTGCTACAAAAGCCGGTGTTCCTATTGTGCCAGGCTCGAAGGGACTGGTAAAGAGCGAGGATGATGCTGTCGCAATAGCAAAAGAACTTGGGTTTCCGGTACACTTACTCAGCCTTCATCTGCTAGGTAATGGAGCTGACATCGACACAGGTCATGCTGAAGGCCACAGCGGGGGGTGGTGGAATGGGCTTACTTACATGCAACACAGAGAAAGAAGTCCGTGACTCTTTCGCCACCGTCAAGTCTAGGGGCGGGGCCTTGTTCAAGAACGACGGTGTCTTCATCGAACGCTACTATCCGTCAAGTCATCATATTGAAGTACAAGTGTTCGGAAACGGGGATGGTAAGGCCATATACTTCGGTGAACGCGAATGCTCCATTCAGAGGAGACATCAAAAGGTTATAGAAGAATGCCCAAGTCCGTTTGTTACCAAACATCCTGGGCTACGGGAGAGATTGGGTGACGCGGCCGTCCGCCTTGCGGAGTCAATCAAGTATGGATCGGCTGGAACGATCGAATACCTTGTAGATGACGAAACTGGCGCATTCTTCTTCCTTGAGATGAATACACGCCTGCAGGTCGAGCATGGCATAACAGAGCTATGCTACAACATCGACCTGGTGGAATTGATGTTAAAACAGGCCAATGCTCAACTCTCAGGAAGAAAAGGCCTTGACGCAGCGTACCTAGCCAGCCTTGCAGTAAGCGCACCTTCAGGTGCCGCCATCGAAGCTAGAGTTTACGCTGAAAATCCGGCCAAAGATTTTGCTCCCTGCCCTGGTACACTGCAGACGGTAGAATGGAAGGAGCTGCCGGGGTCTAGAATCGACACATGGGTTTATAGGGGTGTTAAGGTGTCGGCAAACTACGGTAGGCTGCCAGAGCTATACGTTTACAGGAAAGTACTAACGCAAATTTCTCAGACCCGCTGCTTGCGAAGGTCATGTATCACTCTCAAAGCAGACAGCAAACTATCGAAGGATTGAAGACAATATTGACGGAGTCACGTATCTGTGGCCCTCCAACAAACCTGGACTTCCTGGCTGATATTCTGGCGGATGACACTTTCGTCGCTGGGAGAACATTGACTCGCTTTCTAAACGACTTCAAATATAAATTGTCTGCTATTGATGTTATATCTGGCGGTGCATATACACTCATTGAAGATTGGCCTGGTCGTCCAACCTTGGGAAGGGGTTTTTGCCATTCGGGGCCTATGGATCCCATGGCCTTCCGCATTGCGAATGCGCTTGTTGGAAACCCAATGGGTCTGGAAGCCTTGGAAATAACCTTGAGTGGACCGGAACTACGATTCCTGGGACCAGCACTGATCTCGTTATGTGGTGCTCCAATCGAAGCCAAGCTTGACGACGCACCCCTCCCGATGTGGTCGAGGGTAAAGGTCTCAGCTGGCCAGCGTTTGAAGATCGGGAAAACAACGGGTAACGGCTGCAGAGCCTATCTTGGTGTCTTCGGAGGGTTCTTGAATGTCGCAGAGTGGTTTGGATCCAAATCAACCACTCCAGGTGTTGGCGTCGGAGGCTATCAAGGCAGACAGCTTGCCTCTGGGGACCTTCTTTCGATTACTACCCAAGTACCAGCAGTGAGCGGTGACCTCCGCTTACCGCAGCATCTTATTCCTCAGTACCCTGATCACTGGGAGTTTATGGCCATGCCAGGACCGTATGATCAGGGGTATCTCGTTCCAGACAGCATTGACATGCTTTACAGCGCAAGCTTCAAAGTATCGCACAACGCTGCTAGAGGAGGCATCCGTCTGTTAGGCCCGAAGCCTACTTGGGCTCGCACAGATGGTGGTGAAGGCGGTGCGCATCCTTCTAATCTGATCGAGTACGGGTATGCGATAGGATCTCTCAACTGGACGGGTGATGACCCGGTCATATTCCCCGTGGATGCGCCTGACCTGGGGGGTTTCGTCAGCAGTCATACAATCTGCAAAGCCGACCTATGGAAGCTGGGGCAAGTGAAAGCAGGTGATACTTTGAAATATCGTGCTACGTCTTTGGAGGATGCTCTGTCCGCTCGCAAAGAGCTAGAACGGTTTATTGATGAGGTTGCTCGAGGTTGCCAAACGGGTGATTTCAGTAACATATCGCCCGCTAAAGGTGACCTAACTCCAGAGCTTACAGCAGAGAAACGCGGACAGGGTGTCGTACACCAGATCCAGGAGAGTGGGAGCCAACCTCTTGTTTCATATCGTCAGGTAAGCCAGCAATTCAATCAGTCGCTCACATTCATTTAGCTGACATATAGTCAGGCCGGCGATGATTATCTGCTTGTTGACTACGGCACTGGGTCCTTTGACCTGAACCATCGCTGCAGAGCTACTGCTTTGAAGAAAGCTTTGACTGAAGGAACTGGCGATTTCACCTTTGCGAATGGGCTAATTTCAACTATGGGAAGCGGAAATAGTAAGCTTTTTCTCACACTAATCTAACCAAGACTATGTGCTGACTATACGTAGCTTTGATGATCTACTATGACGGACTAAAAATCCCACAGAAGAAGCTCCTAGCCTATCTCTGTGACATCGAGACAAAACTCGGTGACCTCAGCCACGCAAAGTTCCCCAGTCGGCTATTCAAGCTCCCTCTCTCCTTCGAGAGCCAGAGACAGAAAGACGCAATCACCCGATACATGGAGACCCAGCGTCCCTACGCTTCCTACCTGCCCGACAACATCGACTTCGTAGCGAAGAACAATGCTTTCAGCAGAGAAGAGTTCGAACGGATCTACCTAACCGCCTCCTTCATGGTTATAGCAGTTGGTTTCTTCACTGGTCTTCCGCTCTCCCTCCCAGTCGACCCACGCTACCGGATGAACTGCCCAAAGATGAACCCCAGCAGAGTCTACACACCAGCCGGCTCAATCTCCTGGGGCGGAAGTTGCATGGCGTAAGCATCAAACCAGCCACACCCACACCCACATGATAAGCACACATGCTAACAGAGAGCAGACTATACAACGTAGACTCACCCGGCGGATACCAAATGACCGGCATGACCATCCCGGGCGTCGACATTCTCGGCTCTAAGAAAGGCTACGAAGCCAACAGACCATGGCTATTCGAAGACTTCGATCAGATCACCTTCTACCGCGTCTCCGAAGAAGAATACGAGAAGCAGCTCGCCCTCTTCAACAGCGGCAGATATGAATACCAATGGGAAGAGGTGATTTTCGACATGGCGGAGCACAATAAGCTTCTCCGAGAAACTGCGGACGAGGTCGCAGCTATTCGGAGCAAGCAGCGACAGGCACAAGCTGAGATGGACAAGCTCGAGACAGAACTGCTTGAGCGGTGGGCGAAGGAGAAAGCAGAACGGGGTATCCCGATGGATACGATTGAGAGTTTATTGAGGATACGATTGAGAGTTTATTGAAGGGTATGTCTATCCCCTTTCACACAGATATTAATTTTGAAATACAGAAAGGAAGATACTGATGGTCACTCTCTTTCATCTAGACCCTGAGATCACCCCCATTGAAGCGCCATTGAATGCCAATGTCTGGAAAGTAGAAGTCAAGGAAGGTGATAAACTCGATAATGATCAGCTGGTGGTTATTCTGGAGGCTATGAAGCTGGAAATTGCCGTGCGTACGGAGACCCTCGCTGCTGGGTCTACCGTGGAGAAGATCCTGGTTCAACCGGGTGACTCGATAGAAGCAGGGAAACCTTTGGTGTTGGCGAGGAGGGCACAGAATTGATTCTCTCACGCGAGTAGACACTGTTGTTTGAACCCGTGTATATCCAGGCATTAAGTACCTGCTTGGCCACAATGAACATGACGCTAAAGTAATGCAAGCTTCTGTGAATAGACCATCGACCCCTATGGTAGATGCATATGTTACTACTCCCAAACAGGCAATCACCCAAAAGGGCAATCGCATTCGAAAACAGTTCACACCTTGAATACCTTCCTGACCGCTCCAAACTCGAGCTCATGCACCGTAGTATACAACCAAAATCTATCATACAACTCGTATCAACGACGACAGCAATGCCATATCCACCTAACACCCATCCCACCAAAAACTAACCCCAATCCCACCCTTCAAACTCCTGACATAATGCCACCACCCAATGGGAATATACAACATATCGCCCGGCTTCAGCACCGTCTCGACATACTCCGCATCCATGAACCCAGGCCACAGCTCCTCCCAATAGTCCGCCTCAGCAGGGGACATTTCAATAGCAGCGAGATCAACCTGCGAGGTATTGGACATATCCACAAGTTCAGGTTCTTCTTGCTCGTGGTAGTGTTGATCATGAGTGTACTGATGGGGATCTTGCCCATCCTCGGGCCGTCGTCTAACGACAGGTTCTTTTCCCTTCGGGTGGATCTGCGAGAGTGGTGTGTGAGGGGAATATAGTCGGAAGTATTTTTCGCCTACTACTTGTACGTAGATGTTGTGGTATGTGTCAAAGTGGAGGGGGGATATCGTCCATGAGGGACCCATCCAGATGTTGAGGTGTGGGCCATCGTCGTCGGGTTCGTGGCAGGATGATGAGTCGGAGTCGGCTTCGGATCTGGATTCTTGTTCTTTCTCTTGGACTGGGATGACCTCTTCTCCTAATTTCCGTCTCCGGTCTTCTTCCTCTTTCTGCTGTCGGATGTAGGCTGGGGTGCCGGGTTCTGCCTTGGGTGCGTCGATGTGAATGTAATCCGGGTACATGAAATCCTTAAACAAGGTCGGCATGTGAGAAAACAGATCATGCTGCGCCAGGTACCCCGTCGGACCTGCATCATCGCTGTGTCTATCCCGATCGAGATACTTCTCTACGAAGTTCTTAAAGGGCATTAACCGCTGGCCCCAGTCCTCATCCGTATACGACCTCCCAATCTCCACAGGGACAAGTCTCCGTCCGCCAAAAGTGCGATGCATCCAGAACTCCCTAGACGCCCACGACCCCGTCGCTATAGCCGGCCAATCATTCACCGCATCGGTAATGACAAGCGGTGTTTTCTTCTGGCGCACATGATCACGGAAATTCGGCGACGAGGGCGACGTACCCCACATCGGTAGATTCGATACTCGGGGTATAGGGAAACAGATCTCAGGCGTCGGCGCAGCATCGTCAGAGAAGAGCGGAGTGGCGAGTTCGTCGGGGTCCAATTCATCGGGGAATTCGAATTTAGTTAAATTGTTCCGCTTGGTCGTCGGACACGCACCCTGCAGCGCATTTATCACCGCTAGGACTAATGCTTCCCTCAATGGTGCTCCGGTCATTATTAATGCCTTGTCGAGCATGTGTATCGTAGGCGTGAGCCATTCTGCATCCGGGTCCACCTCAATTAGTTCCTTGTTAGAGCGGGAATCGTAGATAATCCTCAGTATATTTTGCCTGCGTGTGAGAGCCGTGGAACCGGGATGTGAAGGAGAAGGAGGGAGAATTGGGTGTCTGTTGTGTTCGCGGCGCGGAAACCCGCAGTTTTCAGCGATCGTGAGACATGCTTTCAAGATGCATGCGTCGGTGTAGTAGCGGCGCCAGCAGATGTCGACATCTTTGAAGGGGAATACGCGGAGCTTTGAGTCAGCTAGCTTGATTGCGCTGTCGGGATCGCCGAGAAGGTGGTCGTGAAGTGTATCGAGGTTGTTGTCCGGGAAGCAGCGGAGGATGGGGTCGTCGGGGCGGATATTGAGGATCTCGAGGAGAGTTTTGGGGAGCTGGAGGTGGATTGGGGAGTATCGCATTCTTTGCGGGTTATTTCTTATCTCATTGTATGTGCTTGGAGGAGGATGTGTATCTGCATGAAGATGCTGGACTTGACTCAAGAGAGTGATGGATGGTTTAATGTTGATAGTGTTGTTCTTGTCGCGTCTTTTTCCGAGGATCAATTAAGTATCCCGATCAAGACTAGCGTCCAAACCCCGCTATCTCCGAATGACAATCTTGAATGTATTCAGGTTGTCATCAACTACACGTTAGAGATGCTTAAAGGGCGTTCAATTACACCAGGAGGGATTGTGGAGCGAGATTGATTGTGCTATTAGACTAGTTGTCTCTTCATTCGGACATATTCCCTGTTATAATTACAACCGCCAAACCATCAACTCCGACCCTATGTTACAAACTCTTTATATATACACCCTTTAGGCACATTTGGTACTATCAATTCCGGTTGCCGTTGCTTAATCAAGCAAATCCACAACAAGCTTTGGAATGCCGGCAACTCCCTCGCCCCTAATGGCACTGACAGGAACCGCGCAGACCTTGTCTCTCCGTCCATAGGGATGTCCGCCCGGATGTTCCTCTTCGCCGTTCTTAACGGCGGCAAGATAGTCACGCAGTGTCTTGAAGCGTTCTTGAGTCTCCGGGAGATCGGCCTTGGTGGCTACCACAAACCATGGCTTGGTGTGGATTGGGGAAAGATTCAAAGCGGGAAGTTCGTCTTTAGCTTTTGACGCAACCTTGTTGAGCTCCTGAATTGCACTTTCGGATTGTAGTTCAGGAAGACCATGAGTGGGCGGATTCCAGGTTAAATCATCTCCCTCAACTTTCATCGACTCTTCAACGTCACGGACGCGCTCGTATTCGCCCAGTTCGTGCCAGAGACCCTTCAGTCCTTGCACAGGGTCACCTGCGCTAAGATCAACCACAAATGCCAGGATACCAGCGCGCTCAATATGCCGGAGAAAGCCAAGACCAAGGCCCTTATCCAGATGAGCGTCCTCGATCAGACCTGGAATGTCGGCAATTGTGAAGTTCGTCCGCCGGGCCTTTCCTTTGGATTCCACCAACGGTCGCCCTTTATGATTGTCGATGACCACCGTACCAATATTGGGAGAAAGCGTCGTGAACTCCCAATTTCCGACCCGGGTGCGACTGTTGGTCAACGACCGAAGCAATGTACTTTTGCCCGCATTGGGCTTCCCCACGAGTCCAACATCCGCAAGCAGCTTCAGCTCAAACTCAAGCTCCAGGCGCATGCCGCCTTCACCTCTAGATGCGAACGTAGGCCGGTTCATATTGCGAGTCACAAAGTGTGGGTTACCCAAGCCACCGGCACCTCCAGCAGCCAACAAGATCGGCTTGTCCATATGCTGCGAGAGATCGAGGTAGATTGGCGCCTGCGGTTCCAGTGCAGCAATATGTTGTCTCCGGGGCGGATTATTCGGAAACACCGTAGTCAGGTAATCAGACGGGTTGGCACCAGGGTAAAGAACCCAGCGATCATGTCGTATAGACGGTAACCCAAGCTCATCTATTTCATCCCTCTCTTCTGCGCCCTCCTCTGCCGCAGCAGCAGCAGCAGCCGCAGCTTCTTTGCGCTCACGTTTCCGGCGCACGATTTCCTCCGTGACCGGGTCGTAACGATCGACTTCACGAACGACAGTGCCAACGGGAACCTGGAGCAGGACATCGTTGCCTCGTTTGCCTCCTTTGCTTTTCCCCTGCCCGTTCTTCCCCCGACCGGCCTTTATAATCCCCCTACGAGCCAGCTTATGTAGACTCGTCATACCTTCAACGGCCTGAATATAGATGCTCCCGCCACTACCTCCATCGCCACCATTCGGCGGACCCTCTTCGACATATTTCTCACGAAGAAACGAGACGCACCCATGCCCACCAGCACCGGCGTATATCGTCGAGCGACATTTATCCTGAAAGATGAAGCGCGAATAATCTTCGGGGGACGGATTCAGATGTGACGGTTCGGAGATATGATCGGGCAGTGGCGTTTGCTGGTGATACTCTGATCGCTTAGACTCGGCTTCGGTGCTATTATACCGCTGAGACCAAACTTTCAGAGCGTAAGCCGGCGTCCTAGCTAGAGGACGTAATCGGACGGAGGGGTTTGGGGGGAGAATGCGAGGAATTGAACGGAGGAGCCATGTTCTGTGAGCTGCCATGTTGTAAAATGTGGAGCTTAGCTATAGCTCATTCTGGGATGGCGGGGAGAGCAATTATGCGAATTGAAGGGGTATTAATCAGCTGCGATGCATTTTCCTGCCTTGTTTCAAGGAACTCAATAGCTTCTTGGGATTGGGATCGATGATGAAATCGGCGTCGATGTCATGGCTCATGCCGCATTTCCAGCAAATCCGGCCAGCACGTGACTGACCTTATCGGCACCTGATGATAACAGTTGTTTACTGTCTACAAACAAACATTCACAGTCATTCAACATGTGTTTGCTATCTGCCATTGTCAGAATTGGTCCAACTATTAGATTCCAATGATGATACCAAAATATACACTGTCATCATTCAAATTCAACAACCATACAAATCTTCACACACTAACAACAGCAGAACCAAAACCAAGCCCATAACCACAAGACATACATACAGGAACCACCAAATGAACTGAAATTCCAGGACAATAACAGAACAAACCAAACTTACTTCAATCCCACAAACCACCACAAAAATACTATGCAACAAACACCAAACCGACCATCCAGCTAATTACCAACTCATTTGCAACCCTAAAGCCCGCACTCTCAAGACTGTCATATCAAACAAAAAAAAACCTCCTAATCCCATGCACCAAAAGCTACAGTCAGCAGAGGAAAATATGCAGAAGTATGTGTGTCAAGCTTACTTACACTTACGAGTGTTAGTCAACGAAGAATTGAAAGTTGGCTGTCTGTCTGTCTGTCTGAAAGAGCGGCCAGGCCCAACCGATCAATCTTCAATTGTCTTGCACTACATCGGGCAGAACTTTTTACTTTTTGACGCACTCAAGCTGAGCTGAGCTGGGCTGGGCTGGGCTGGCTGGGTCAGCTTACATTACAGATGCAGTGTGTGCGAGGGAGGGAGATGGATGTGCACTGCACTGTGCTGCGCTGCCCTGTCTCTGCTGTGTTGCGGTGATACCTTGCGCGCATATATCGGCAACGACTCGGGGAGTCTCTACGGAGTACCTTGGTTGGTGGGTTCTTATTCTCGAGGGGGGGAGGGGTGTCTGATGTCTGATGTCTGGTTGTGGATTGGGGGGTATTCGTATCTATATCGGCATTGGTGGTTATACCGGACTATAAACTCTGTTATAATGATATTTACTCTATAGTTGACAATTGAAGCAAGACATATTGGGCCTAGGCTAGTATCTCCAAATAAGGAAACAGAATGAAACCTCCGGCAAACTGAGACACGGGTTTATTTTCCCTTCTACAGACAGCCTACCATAACACCGATCAACGTTTACCAGCATAAGGGCGTACAGAAACAAACAAACAGACAGACAGACAGACAAACCTGGCAGATGGGCAGGCAGGCAGGCAGGCAAGCAGGCATCCAGTCGGGCCACAATAACAGCAAGTTAAGTAACCTGTATACTTATTTGGTAGACAATATATCAACAACCGCACCATGCGACATGCATAATACTCCCATCCCATACAGCAAGTATATCCCGAGGAATGATCGCACAATGATGCAATCCTATGCATAGTATACAGTAGACCGCTCAAATCTCACCGGGCAAATACCCAACTGGGCTGAAATGTAAGTCAGTCAGTCAGTCAGGTGTTGTGTTACAGTATATAGCGGTAGCAGCTGAAGTACTTGAGTGGCAGCAGTGGTGGTTTCAACTGCAGGGCTAATGCCGCGCGGACTCGCCACACCCGGGAATTGGTTGAGTCGCATGGCACCATAGCTGTTGAGCCACATATCCTTGTGGTACTTCGTCTCTTCTTTCCCTTGTTGCTGTTGGTATAGAAAGTGGTATGTTGAGAGTAATCTGCAGATGCAGTAGGGGTCATTGGTGATGTATGGATTAGTTGGTGCTTGGTTACTGTAGTTACTACTGTGTGCTATGTATCTATTGTGTAGACCCAGTTAGTTATTCATCATTCATTTGGGTGTGTACCTGTATCTGCGATCTGGACCGATCCACAGTGGCGAAAATGAAAGATAAAAATACTTCATATGAAAAAGAGAGTTGCTGAATTAGAAATAAGACTGCGTGATTGTGGATCGTGATTGAAGCAAGTCAGTAACTAAGTGGTCAGTGGGCTCTTCTTTGGACGTGTCAACTTTCTATTTTACCTTTCGGGGACCTGATCTGGACTGTCGGATTTAGTCAAATGTAGAATGGGTGTGGATGCGCTAAACTTATCGCAGTTAATACGTAGATACTTGACTTGGCCTTTTCGTCGAGACGGAGTATGTGTGTGTGGGAGAGTGGAGATAGGACTTATGCATGGCTTTACATATTGTGGATATTCAGTTGTTGTGGACGCACTGGACAGGCTTAGATATTGGGGTGGTGTGTCCATCCATCTGTCCCTCGGACTAAATCAGTACATGGTGCTAGTTGACTAGTATCTACTTTAGTAGTAGATCAGCAGGGGGTGGATGTTGACGCACCTCTCATCCAATGAACCTGACGTCCATTTATCGCCGACCACACGACAAGATCTCCATCACGAAATCCGATCAACAAAGCAAACAGACAAACAAGGGCTCCATTCGAAATCTGGGTTATCATGACATCTCAGGGGGGAAGGAATAATGCTCCAATAGTGAGAGCCGGAGATGTCCTCCCGTCCCGTGTGGATGTATCAAAGAACCTAAAGTTGTGTAGAGTTTTGTTATTTCCTTTGGCGTGCGCGCGGATAGCCACTGGATGCTGTAAGTTGGGGGGAGAAGAGAGCTGAAATGTGAGAGTCTACTTAGTGTAGCTGGTCTTAGTGTCCCGGATCGGATCCGGGTGCCCGGCTAGTTAGAATGCCTTTGCTTTTTGGACTTTTCCTGTTCAATGCTTCTGGGGAACGGAGGGAGGGGCGACTGGGAAATGGGTACTTTTGTCCGTTAGTGGCTGACATCCCTGCCCGAAGGATCGACTCGTCGTTCTATCCAGTCGAAGCTTACGCTAGCTTATCGGCCGCCTCATCTCATCTTGAATGATGCAGATGCAATGCATCCGGCGCGTAAAATGTATACTTCCAGCACCTCAGTCGATCACATGACGAAGGGGTGTTGTGTCTTCAGGGTCTGGCCATCCTAGTTTTGAATTAATAATTTCGGTCCAGAAAGGTAGCATTCTCCGGATCAGGTCCAGTTTCCGTGGTCCGGAATAGAGTGGGTGAGTCAATGGTTGGAAGCTGACAAGCACGGAATCCCCGGCGATCTATCCTGCACGAGCTGCCCTGGAATATATGTCTTTGCCCTAGGACACATTCCGGACCCGGTACTAGATAAGTACTAAGTAATGCACTCTCTCAGCTCCTGCTAATCACCGCATAAGCAGGGCTGAATAGATGCCCAGCTCAGTATCATGGTGAAGGCAGCCAGCCCGCAACTTGAAGGTGCATGCGGACAATTTCACAGTTAGTCCAATGCGTTGGCAGAGTTGCGATGGAGGAAGGCGACACCCAACGTTGTCTAGATCTGACAGGCAACGGCTGTGAGACATATAGCTAAAAAAGGAAGCCAGAATATCAAGTAATCCGATATGGTGTAGTGGCTAACATCGCCGTCTCTCACACGGCAGCCGGGGGTTCGATTCCCCCTATCGGAGCTCAAATTTCCTTGATTTTTGCTTTCTTTCCATCTAGTGTCTCTTTTTTCCATTTCTTCCCGCCCCATTGTTGCGAAGAGATCGATAAATGAATCCTAGCGTCATTTCTTTTTCCACTTGTTGCCTCGGTGGCGGCCTGTAGATTGACAGCTCGGCAAATATGCGACGACACGCCCGTTGGTCACACGTTACGACCAAATAGCGACCATTGGCAGTATTTTTCTGCGCGACGGCGCCTACCAAGTAGGCTACCTGCTACCTGCCAGCCTGCGAGGCGGACTATAATTACCCTGATAGGCAAAAGGGCCAAAGTACCGCAGGGCGATTACCCACCATCACCACATTGTTACACTATCGGTGCCTGTCGCACCAGGGCCTCGCGACGAGAACTTGGTCAGGTGGTGGCTAAGTCCACCGTGCAAAGTGGGCTCACCGGCTTCGGTGCCGTACGTAGCACATCTTATGATTTGTGTGACGTGAGCCCGGTTACCTCAATAGTAGCTGAGCATAATCTTGGTATGGCGAGTTGCACAGTGGGTCTTCTAGACTACCTTGTTTCCTGTAATGGCATGCCCATGCCGCTTCTCGATTGACGAAATGGAACATGGACATATCCATGACTGCATAATTCGTGGAAGTTAATGACCATTCGGGCTTATTACTGCACAGTGGACCATCATTCCACGACCTACGATCTGCGAGTAGGATCATTATCGCAAAAGCTCGGTCGAGACACGGCAGATCATTGACAGGACTCCACCCGTCTAGATAGGCCTCGACCACCCAGTTGTTGTGCATCCCATGTGCAGACTTGGATGCTGCCAAAGTGACAGATCAAGGTCAAATCCAGTAATGACACTGGCTCATCTTGTTTCGGCACTACTATGCGTGGTGGGATGCTGTTCGCAGCAAACCGCCTGCATGACAATGCCATTGGCCTGGTTTGGGGTCTGTGATTGTGAACAAGGATGCAGTAGTTCGACTGTCACAGGGATAGGCAGGCCCTTCTGCAAATCAGCGCCCGCGATCGACGAACTAGTCACGACGTCCATGAACAAGTTGAGATGCATAAAGTACCGGGCCATATTGCGATTTAAAGTTATGGTCCATTGTTAGCATCCCTGTCGGATACTACGGAATAGCGTACATACACTGTGTCGAGGGAGGAAGTCGAGGTAGGGGCTCCTCCTGTTGATGGATCATCCAGAAAGGCTAGATTCCGCACGTTGGGGCGAGGGACAAGTTCCCTCCGATTCATGTCGACAGGTACAAAGTACACAGTCGTAGACTCACTTACAGGGACTAGCCCACCTTGGCCTTGATATACAGCCGTTCAACTTGGTCTGAGGCTCCGCAGTGGATTCCAGAAGTGCAGGGATCTGGGCGAATGGGATGGGGTTCCTGGTACCGCCGGAAGGGGGAGGATGGGATTCCCCTGCAGCTCACATGATCAGAAAGAGGACGGCTATGATGGCTCTAAAATGGGGCGGAATGCAAATAGTGCGCCGTCTGAAAAAGCCAAAAGGCGGGAACAGGAAGGCGGAATCGATCAATCATGCGAGAGTCGAGAGACTAGCCGAGTGTGATTGGAGATCAGACCCATGGTCCTCGATTGTTATCCGTCGCCGCGGGACCGGATCCGCAATTCCGTTGGAGACGAAAGTCCTTCTTTGAAAGTTACTCCTTATTCAATCCGGGATTTAATTTCCCTTTACTGTTTAATGTGTGTGTGTGTGTGTACGTGCGTGCGTTGACCACCGGTGTATCCTATCAAATGGTGGATTTGGGGGTCAGCTTTGCCACGAAGACAGGAGGACAATGGCGGTTGTTGAAAACCCACTGACATGTGTAGGTGGTACAGGCATCTACCTGCCTACTCCAGCAGGTCGCCTACATACCGAGTTCTTTCATAGGTCAGCATGAAGAGGAAGAGTGAAATTAGTGGTTCTAGGAACCGAGACATGCTTAGTACTCTGTATCCGTAAAAGTAGACACATTATCCAGACTGAGCCTTACTTGAGCCGTCGAGTCCGTCGATAGTTACGCCATTGTAGCGCCGCGCCCCCATAATTAATCCCAGCTGAAAGGATGCTTTCATCTCGCATTGCGATAGGTAGAGACGGATAGAAGAGGGAGACTAGATGGAACGGATTCCATCCCGTCCCAGCTGATGCTGGATACTACTGTATGACACTTAATTAATTCAGAAAGGAAAAAAGAACAGAGTAAGTGCAAGACGAAGACCGGCCAAGTCCGCAATTCCCTTCGCCCTTTTGAGGGGGGGCGCAATTGAGGTGGGGAAAAGAAAGCAGAGGGAAGGGAAAAGAAGGAAGGCATTTTTTTTTGGTGCAAGTTGCCCAGCCCCGCTGGCTTAGCCACGGTGGCTCGATTTGCCAAAGCCAGCAGCCAGCAGCCAGCGACGGGGAAGTACTATTCGCCCGTACTTTTGCCTCCAAATCCCTTCCGTCGAGCCGGCGTGTGATTGTGACGCAACGGCGAAAAGCGAGGAGGGAGAAAAAAAAGGATGAGATGAGATGAGATGCAATTCCCGCCCTTTTCTCGGGTTCGATGTTTCACATCCACCAAACTGTGCTATCCATCCACCTGACCGCCTATATGGTTTTATTGGTTCGGGGAGGTGAAGCCGGTTCCAGTGCACAAAGACCTTCGGTTCTGGTGGTGAACTAAAGGTACCTGGTGGATTCGTACCTCTCCTCAGCTCTATCTTTGGTCCGGTACTTCCTTCCCGGTACTCGGTACCTTGGTTCGTTTCAAAGTCTATCCTACTATCCTATTACTCCTGACGTTGGAAGGGAGGAAGGTATCGAGGTTGACGAAAACAGCGAGGTGCTGGTCTCATGAGATAACTAGTTGTTCCATCTTCCAACCGAAAGGCGGGAAAGACTGCGGGTCTCTAATTGCGTTTGGCTCCTTTCTTTCTTTCTTTCTTTAGATCTCACACCCCTTCTCTCACTCTCAAAGTCTCAAAATTCCGTTTCCTCTTGGCTCTCTGAATCGAACCGACTGCGTTGCATACAGGTAACGTAGACTGGGTAATTATCGGCATTATTAAGCGATTAGATAAAGTAAGACCGAAAGACTCCGAGGATTTACATTGATGCAAATGCGATCACCGATGGAACGGATGCCTTCAAAGACACACACCATTTATCTCCTAACAGGGAAATCCCCAGTAGGTTGGTGGTTGACTGCGTATGACCTGCGCGGTTCCCCACATTGATCGAACCGATCATGTCCGTAATCCTGACAGAAGACCAGGGATCCCAGCTGAGAGACACTCCAGGATCTCAATTTTGGATCACTACTTTACTGTATGGCTTTTCAGTCCTGCCACCGTCGTAGTAGTAACTACTAGTCTACTTACTGCTGGGGGCTTCTTTGACCCGCCACAGCCGCAGTCACGCTGACTGCCGGTGTTGACCGATCGAGCAATTGTCAACGAGTATCTTACTCGATCTTACATTATTGTTCAGCACCAATGGCATGATGCACAATAATTTACGCTGACGTCAACTACTCCAATACGGGGGTTTTCTAGAAGCATTCGATACATCTGCTTGACGAAGCATCATGTAGTTAGTGACTGTTCTGGGAGGGGGGAGAGTGGACCATCTCTAGTAGTCGGGTAACCACCTCAATTACTATGAAACATGCGGCCATGCGCCGACAGTACCGACTTGACTTAGCCTAAGTCAGGACGGAACCGACATAACTAACAGACTAGTAGTTAGTTACTTTGTATTTATCGGGTGATCCGATCATGATGGAAGGCAACATCGAGCATGACCTAATTGAGAACTAGACGATCAGCAGGGGAAAAAAAAGAAATTCAATCAGTGTGGGACTGGCAAAGACACTCCGAGTCTCATCCGCCAAAGTATAGGATTCCTCATGGCTCAAGAGGCGGACCCGACACTCTGGCGCGGGAACTGCGCCTGTAAAACGATCGACCGCAGACCGGAAGCGGGTGGCTTGTCGCTCCAAAGCTGATTCCAGGTGGGCCGTGGATCCCGAGAGTTGGGAGGACGCTACGGAGGACTACTCAATACTCCATACAGAGAAAAGTTAATGGGATTCGCTGAAGCTTTGAGACATGTGCTGGGTCAGAGAGAGAGAGAATCGCGGCAAAGTAAAAATTGCCCCGCGAGCGAAACTCAAGAGTTAGGAAAAGAGATAGAAGAAAAAAAAGAACCGAGAGAGAAAGAGGCTGGAAAGGTATGGAGCAGAGACCTGCTGATAGAGTCAACGTCATGCGCCAGTAAGCCATGCATCGATGACTAGATAGAATCCCATGCCAGTAATAAAGATGCTCAATGCTGAGTGTCGTTGCAGGATACTGAACGAATCGGAGAATAGGTGGATTAGGTGATAGGGAGGCATAGTAGTATTGATGTATTGTCGTTGTGATCAGACTGACAAGATCACTAACGCAAGACGCGATACGCGATATGCTGCTTAGAGGGACAGACATACTCCAGAACAGCCTCTAACATCCTCCTGCAATACCGAAGAAAGGTTATTGATGGTCGGATGAATGGGCAGATGTTACGGTTCCTTTCCTCCAGCCTGGTTCTGACACCTCTCCCAACCATCCACTGCAGCAAAAGCGATGTACCGCGGGGCAGCCCAATGCCCCGCCGGTGCGATAACAAGAGACATGGATGTATGCCACCAGTAGCAGCAATCAATCGACCTTGCATGAGGAGTTGATCTAAGCCCAGCTGTCAAAACGGAAAACTGCTTCCCGAAGGTTGTTGCCAGCTGCCCTCCTGGCTACCGTGGCTGTGTATTGGATCAGCTTGTGTGTGTAATGTTGGATCGCTCACCGTAAGTTTCTCATTGCTCCCTGCAAGGCGGACCAGGGCTGCTGCTGCTGCTACTGCTGCTCCGTGAACGATCCCGAGCCAGCCAGGCATGATTCAAGCAAGCATCAGCGACTGCCCGCGCTTGGATTTCTGCCCAAAGCACAGCAGAGCGTTATTTTTCCTTTCCCACCCCCCCCCCTCCCCCTGGGGGACGGGGCAGCTGACCTATCGCAAAGGTTCTTGAAAAATTAAAGACACACGAGGACTGCAGTAAGTAGGGTAAAACCGGCCAGGATCTTTGACAGACGTTGACAAACAAAGCCTGTCTGTCCCGCATTTGGTGGCACAAGGATCGTGATGCAGTCAGTGGTGATAGTTAGTAGTTAGTTATCGGCCAACAGCTTAGGCGGTCCGTACCCAAGTTACCCAGCAGCCTGCAAGCCCCTCCTCTCTCGGCTCTTCACCGCTTCCTGCCGGAATTTTCGTCTGTTTTGTTTTGGCTGGCAGTGGTTCAATTCAGGTGGTGAAGTGGGCAGTGACCGACGCTTCCATTCCCCCTCTCCTCCCATCTCAGCTGGCACAAGGTTATTGCACCTGCAGGGCAGCGGCATCAGCGGGCACGGCACCACACACCGATGTTCCTCACTCATCAATCATCATCCTTTCTTTCCCTCTATTACTACAACTCCTACTACCAACAGCACATCATAGTTGCCAATAATGACCGGGAAGTTGTTGCCAGCTCCCATGCAATTAGCCTAGTTACAAGTATATACAAGTATACTAGTGGTCAAATGTGGCTGCTAATCATCTCAGGGTCCCCCACCTCTTGATCCACCCAATAATATAGACTCGCCCGTGCTTCATTCAGCTGCGACGGGTCATGCCCACATGATGCACAGCAGCACGTATGTTATCTGCTAAGAGACTAGGCGCATCGCGATGACATTTCACCGTCCGTTTCCTGTTTTCCTCCGAAACGTCCGAATGGTTATCAAGCTGGACACGATCGTGGTCACTCGAGCTAAGACCGCTGACCACTCGGCCATCTCCTGTCCAGTATCATGGTTTTGAACCGACGCCATGCAGACACCGCCAAACCACGGGCCGTTTGGGTTGACGGCTCCTTAGCAAATCCTTGAAACCCAAACGAGGCACGTCGTCGTCTTTGCTTGTCAGGGAAATGAGGGGTAAGCTCCATCTTACTGGATGCAAGTAATGCACCCAAGTCGAAAATTTAATCCTGCGACAGCACGTTGTCGCGAAAATCCCTAAATAGCCCAATCGGGATCCCCAAGGAAGCACTCGTATTGGCTTTGAAGACCCGACCCGACTTATCTTCGTTCGCATGCTCTCTCGGGTTGCGTCTCTCCCGCGTGGTATCTAGTTAGCTAGTAGCTTGGGTAGGGTTTCTTCTTCCCTAGCTGCTCCTTCGTCCGGCTCCTCCATGAAGCCGCCCCGGCGGATAGAATTCCTACTGACTTCCTATACGTACGTATTTTTGGCCCAGAGCAACGGGGTCATCGGGTTTCAACTCGGCGGGGGGTGTTTCCGGATCCTCCCCATTGGCTTTGTGTACCAAATCTATCCCCCTCACCCCCTTTTTCACTTTCTTTGATGATCTGATAGAGGTCAGCGGGTTCAGCTGCCTGCTACTGTCCGTCTCAAGTGTAATGACGTCGTCTGCTGCTCTGCAAATGCCTTTTGCTGAGCTGCCCGAGTTTATTGTCCGCCCTTCATCTTCTTTCCTGCTGGGCGGGCGGATGCTAATGGTCGATCGTCCGTATCAAAAGCGCCCCACTGGCCTATTCATCATGATGGTCAAAAGATCACTTGCAGCTTGCAAGCTTCCATTGTTTTTCTCCCCCTCTTCTTGACCCTCATTTGGCTCGCGTGGCTCCAGATCTCAACCGCGCTAAGTCAGGCACTATGAGATCCACAGCATGGTACTATTTACCTTATGCAGCGGTGGGTTTTTACCTGTTCCTCTCTCTTCGTTACCGAATACCACGTAATGTTACATACTTGGTACTAAGTAAGTAACTTGGGCTTGTTTTTCACCTCCGCCCGCCCTTAGCGTTACTCTTATGTGTTCATGGAGAAGGCAGGCTACTACTTACTACTTCTTGGAATTAACTAGAAGATATAACACGATCACAGTTGGCCAATGGCATTATCAGAGGAGCGAAATGACCAGTAAGTATCTTTCTAAACCCACCCCCCTGGTCTGTTATAGTAGGATATTTGGCCATGTCACCGGGAGAGCCTAAAGAGAGCCACACAATTTTTTGGGAAACAACACCAACGGCGGCTAATACTTAGCAGAACTTAGCTGTGGATAGGTAACCTCGTAAATGGGGGATGGAGGAGAAAGACAGACGGACAGGACCTTGAAGGTGCGTCGTCGGGTGTCAGGCTCATTAGCCTCATACCATTAGGTACCAGGAACTTACTTTTCGCATTACCCGCCGTTTCAGGTCTCAATTAAGAGGTTCTCCAAGCAACACGGGGAAAATCTCGAGCACTAGCCGTTGGACTAGTAGATAGAATGACGTCAAAGGAATCCGAGAAGGGATTTTACTGGGGATCCAGAGTCTGCGACGATGTCCATCCCTCCACAGTCATCGGCAGCCCCAGGGATGCGTGGAATGATCTTAATGGGATTTGCGATTGGTATCCAAACAAAATGCAGTTCGGTATGGACACCATGATTACTTACTTACTGTACACTTCCGTCTATCCGTTGGGACCGACAGCGCAGAAAAAAATAAAATAAAAAAGCCTTCAAACAAGATAGATAGAGTTCGGCGGGAGCTCCAATCAAAACCCCGTGATCACCTGCTGCAATGTTGTTCGCCCTCCTCGCTTCTTTCCCTCTTCGATCCTTTCTTCACATCGGAGTTAGTTACAAGACAGGCCTGCCCTTGTTACTCATCCACACCCACTCTCTCTCACTCTCGGTCTCCTCCCTCCAGAATTCCTCAGGTACTGTAAATGTCACCTACCAATCACCAGACAAAGCTAGTATGCCCTCTAAAAGATCGCATTAGAGTTCCGGGGCATTTGCTCGAGAAGCCGAGCGGTCATCACTGTGTAGTGGTTTATAGCATGGCTCGATCTACCCCCTGGGGTCGTGGGTGAGGTTGGTCAAGTTGCTTGTTTGGGTACGGTATAACACCGTGGCCCTCGGATTTGGTCCATTTGCTACTTTAGGTGCCGAGCTCAAGGACAACACGCCTCTATGATGAGGGACCCTTATTACTGATTATTACAACGATCATACAACCCTCTAAGCTTGGGCTCCTTGTGTTAAGCAACTAACCATGGGGTAAGAAGTCGCAATCCGTCTCCCAGTGAGTACTAGTAGTACTAGTCGTAGTAAGTAGGCTCTCTCTCTCCTTTTTGACGGGTGATCGCTCTAAATGTCAATCGGTTTTCTCCCGATCACCCACCCCGTCTTTTGTCGGTCCACTTCCAGTCAAGCGATGGAATAATAGCGTCGTTTCTCACCGTAAGGGCTGGCTGTCGATTGCTCACCTCCCGCTTGCCGCCAGTCTTATTATCAGTCCCACTTTGGCAAATGGAGGATGATGGTATCGACTCTCTAACTGTGTATGGTCCCGTGTGCTGTGCATGTATGTACGTATGTACTATGTATGTGTGTATGTGGGCTTTGATTTTATTTCCTTCCCCCCAATTTTACGCTGTGCTTTCTTTTTTACCTGTTCCTTTATTTTTTTGCTTGCTCCGCTCTCCCATCAACTTCTCCCAGCGATCTTCTTCTCGTCGCTCACTAATTACCCACTTCGCCAACCCCTCTTTTTCGCCCTCTCTTCTCGTTGCTTTTCATTTTTCTTATCTTTGTTTGGCTAATCAGTATTATGCCCACTGCTCCGATTTTCCGCTCCTCCATATCAGATCACCAAGCCCTCAAACCTGTCTTACTTACTGTACACTCTTTGATTTCTTGGCTCGACTTGCCGATGTGTATTCCTCCCTGATCTTGCACGATTCACCGCTTCTTACCATTAAGCAGCCCCCAAACAAGGCACCCCCGTTTTTATTGCTAGCTAATCATCTATTGTAGTCCAACTGACTGCTAAAGTACAACCTTCCCTATATTTGATGTTGTTCAGCTTCCTGATTTGTAATACCACGGTAGCTTGTGCTGTTGGATGTTGTCATGATTAGCGTAGTTCTTTGTTTGTCCAACATCAACTACCAACAACAACTACCGAGTGTGGACCTCAGTTCGTAGCACTTTTGATGCATACATTTTTTTTTTTTTTTTTCTTTTTGATATTTTTTTGTAATTTTGTGGGCGATCCCCTTTTTACCTGATCCGTCAACTGATCAAGCATGAGGGTGGGAACCGGCTGGCTCTTCCAGAATTCCGCTCCTGTGGATCAGGCCGAAGGGAGGGAGGGAGGCAGAGCGAAAGAAAAAAAAAGACATTTACTTTGTGGAGGGACAGCAGCTTTCCTAGTGTAATTACAGCCGCACATACACTCTTACTCACTTAACACTCACTCACTCGCCATTCAGTTTAGCCATGATAGGTAATCCCCTTTATTGAGACTTGAGAGGGGGGGGGGAGGCGGGCTGGTCACTGTGATTGAAAGTGGGCTGGAGGTGCTGTTAGATCTATCATCTCACTAAGTCACACTAAAACCAGACTTCTGGAAAGCCGATCATCATTGCCTTACGGGCCAATTTAGCGCGCTCCTAGCTACTCAACTACTCACCTCTGACTGTTCCCCGGAGCCCGGGGCTCAGGTCCATGGGTCCTACCGGTCAATCTGCGGCGGCGGCTCTGGAATGGAGCAATTTGCGGTTTCTCGCTGTGTCTCTCCTTTTGCCTTTTTCTCTCCCTTTTTGCTTCCTTTCTACTTTTATTTTTTTTTTCTCTATTTATTATTATTATTATTATTTTTCGTCCCCATTTTTCTTGATTTCATTTCATCCTGGAGTATTTTTTGATCTTTCCTTTTCCGTTATTTATCATTTATTTTTTTGTACCCCAATATTTCCCTTTTGCTTACTTTAGTTTAATCGTCTTCCCCTTTGAGTGTTTAGTGTGGTCTGACAGTAGGTCTAGTTGATGGATACATTTCCAGCTCCGATCTCAATCTGATTTTTCCCCTTATGACATTATTTCTGTTTGATTCGATAATGATGATGCTGATAATTATTCCTGGCTAATATTTGCAATCGGGAAAATCCACGGGCTGATTTATTTTTTCTCTGTGCTGTAAGGAATCAAAGGGCCATACCGCTCTTACATGGGTAACCGGGCGGTTTCCTTCTGGTTCCCTTTCTGCCCGGACACGGCTGGGACGTTACTGGCGAAGAGAAAGACAGAGAGAGAGTAATACTCAAGTTGTAACCCAAGGTGGGAGTGAACATGATGTATGCCCCGTAAGTACGTAGTACCTTGAATGGATAGAGAGAGTATTGTTTCGCTTCTGCTATTGGCTCCACCCCTTTCTCGGATTCCGGTTCTGCTCTGCTGCTTTCGCTTTTTCCTGCTACTTTTTCCCTTTCCGCCCACCTCAAGTCTCTTGTGGTGCCCCATTATTTTGTCTTGTTGCCTTGACGGCCGTGTCAGATGGTTCCGATCCATCTCTCGTTCCTTCCCCTCCGCGTAGTCCACCCGCATCATACCTTAAAAAAATAAAAAAATCCAAAAAATCGAAAAATTGGATTTTTTATTTTCCCTTCCCTCGAGAAAATAAAATAATAACAATAAAATTATTAATCATGCTAATAATCAAAGTGGATCCCCTTATTCCTCAGCTGTTTGCTGTCGACTGCATCCTGCATCCTTTTGTACAGCTGTAACCGAAATAGGCTTGCTCCATTGTCCCATACTTACTATCTTGAACCGTTGACGTTTTAGTCTTTTCGCCTGATCACATATCTAGGTAATCCACTGGAAATACTTCATTTAATTCCCTGCCCGTCCAGATTTCTCCTTTTATGTGACCTTCCCTCTCTCTCCGCCATCTTTCTTAAATACAATCCACTTGCCTCCGTGGACTGCAGCGCTTTCTGTCTCTTCTCCTCTCCATCTGCTGCACTCCGCTACTATATCTGCTACCTTAGTACTACTTACCCATTAGCCCTACTCTCCTACCACCTCCACCCGCCAACCCATCATCATTATTACCCTTACACACACCCTCAATTGAACGACGACGGACCAGCCTTTCTACTTCTACTCCTCTTCTGCTTCCAACTTCCTCCCCCTGTGATTTTCTTTTTATCACCGTTGGGGTTCCTCACCACTCAAAGTTTGCGTCATTGGATTCCCTTGCAGTTACACAGTCTAGCCGTTTCTCGGGAACAGAAGCACGGAAAATAAAATCCAAAAAAGTTTTAAAAAAGGATTTGCAGCATCGATTGACGACAGGGGGGGTAGAAATGTTGAACCCCCTTTAACAAACCGAGTCCTCTTGTCTTCAGTTCAGCGATCTTATCATCATAACATTCCCTCCCTTCGGTTACAGCGGAGATTCCAGCCGAAGACACATTCCCCGAAATCATTGGCCATTGGCCTCGCATATTGTCTTGCTCTATATTATTATTGCAAGAGACGCAGGCCGATATCGCCCTCCGTGTTTGATCTCGAAGACTTCACGCGGACAACAAACACAACAACAATCTTCAATTCCTCTTTCCTTCTGTTGAGAGAGTGAACCAAGTGGGTGACCGCTCAACCAACATCATGTTCAAACGACCGTCATGTTTACAAGGCCGGCGGCATGGTGAGGGCAACGGTGATTGGACCGCCTTCCCTGTCCGCCAGCTCTTTGTGCTAGGTACGTTTTTTTTTCTACTGGACTGATTGTTGTGACAATTCCTTTGCGCCCAATTCCCAACCGTGATCGTGCATATGGCAAATAGGAATTTGTTTGTCCCTCGGCCTATTACTTTGTTTTGTTGTCAATTGCTTGTTATTCTGTTTTATTTTTTTCTCTACTTTAGCTTTCTGTTTGGGTACCTGATTCCTGCGCATGCACGCACCCCTCTTTCATCTACTACTACCTCTTATTGCATGTTCCTTCCCCCACGCAATATCATACTAGTACTATTGGCCCCGCGATCCAATGGAAACTGACAGTGATACCAGCACTATGCCGCATCTGCGAACCAATCGCGTTTATGTCCATATTCCCCTATGTTTACCAGATGGTCGAATCTTTCCACGTAACAGATAACGACCGCAAGATCGCCCTGTATGCTGGAATGATTACATCGGCCTTCACCTTTGCAGAGTTCTCCGCAGGCATGTTCTGGGGTCGGATGAGTGACAAGATTGGCAGAAAGCCTGTCCTCGTCATGGGCTTGATTGGAACTGCCATTAGTATGGTTGTTTTCGGGTTCGCTCCCAACTTGCCAACTGCCATGATTGCCCGGGCACTGGGTGGCCTTCTGAACGGCAACATTGGCGTGCTTCAAACCACCGTTGCAGAGATCGTCACTGTCAAAGAGCACCAACCCCGGGCCTATTCCATCATGCCGTTCGTCTGGTGCCTTGGGTCGATCATCGGGCCCGCTATGGGTGGTGCGTTGGCACAACCATGCGACAATTATCCCGGATTATTCCAACGTGACACCATCTTCGATCGCTTTCCGTTTCTGCTGCCCAACCTGGTCTGCGTTGTCGTCTTAGTGTCCGGCATCGTTGTTGGCCTATTGTTCCTGGAGGAGACCCATCCGGAGAAGAAGCACCGCCGCGATCCCGGCCTGGCGTTGGGCAATTGGCTCGTTGCGAAAGTCTGGGGTTCTCCCGAATCCCTCCCGGAGCCCACGGACGCCAAAGCGGAATTGACCGGAGAGGGAGAGTACTACGACTACGAGGATGTCCCTCCGCCAGAATACAGAAGCACGGAAAGTTCGCCTCGTCTGGGTCCGATGAAGGAATCGGACAACCTGTCTGCGGATGACGACATTGAGGGGCAGATGAAGGGCGAGCCGTGCGCAACTCCCAAGGCTTTTACCAAACAAGTCATCTTCAACATCATTGCCTATGGCATTCTTGCATAGTAAGTCCCCTCTCGTTCCCCACTTCTCTTTTCCCCGCCATTCTTCAGACGCTGACTTTTGCACAACAGCCACAGTGTCTCCTTCGACCAACTCATGCCCGTCTTCTTGAGCACCCCCAAGTCGGACGACGATGTCGTGCTTCCCTTCAAATTTACTGGTGGTCTGGGACTGGCTACGAGTAAAATCGGCTTCATGTTGGCGGTTCAAGGCGTCTATTCCATGATCGCGCAGCTGTGGCTGTTCCCATTCGTTGTTCGTCACTTTGGAACACTGAGAGTTTTCCGTTTTGTGTTGCTCGTTTGGCCGCCTCTCTACCTCATGGTCCCTTACCTTATCCTCCTGCCCGAACAGCTCCAAACTGCCGCGGCCTACGTCGCTTTGATCAGCAAAATCACGCTGCATGTCATCGCATTCCCTGCTACTGCTATTCTTCTCGCCAACGCTGCCCCGTCCTCTAAAGTCCTCGGTTCCATCAACGGTGCGGCCGCCTCGACAGCTAGCTTGAGCCGCGCTTTCGGCCCAACAGTTACTGGCTTGCTTCATTCTAAGGGTCTCGAAAGTGGATACTCCGTGCTAGCCTGGTGGGCTTGTGGAATAGTGTGCATACTTGGCGCCATCGAGAGCTTTTGGATGGAGGAATCGGAGCGAGACCAGGACGTGGAGAAGAAACCCGAATGCGATGGCCCAACTTCAAACCGTGACTCGTTGCGGGGTTCCTTCACTGCAGGTAAGGAAGACGGCTCTCCCGAGGAAGTGCGGAGATTGCTGTCTTCGGCGCGCACCAGCATCGATGACCTGGACGTTCCCAACGTGGACTTAATGCAAGCCAACCTGAACGTCACTTCCGAGCCCGAGCCTGACAAGTCGAAGCTCAGCCAATAGACCTGTCCGACTCCTGTTTCATTATCGCGAGAGGCAATGTCGCTTCTTCTCGCATCATTGTCTTTTTTAAACTACTCTTGCTTGGAGGCTTATTTCCTTTGCTCAAATTCGCATTGCCTTGCCTTTGCTACTTTTGCACTTGTTCGATTTTTGGCTCATATTGGGTGGTATAGCCTGACTCTTTTTTGTTTTTGTTTATTCTTTGACTTTACTTTATCCCCCATTATTTACTTTGCTCTCCATTATTTATGTTTTAGATCATGATTTCGAATATTGGGCGATGGCGCAGTGT